GACTCTGCCGTTCTACACGAGGCCACACATGGTAGCGCACACACTCCGCCGCGAGGGGTTTGTTGTGTTTGGGAGCTGATGGGGAAGGACGGCGTGTTTTAGGAAGTGGCCCCCCCCGTTAGCTTTTTCCTTCTCACAAGTGAGCGGAAGTTTCCGGAAGCGTGGTCTCGGAGGGGAAGGACAACAGTTGACTTGTGACATTCTACAGCATTCTCACTCTGGCTTCTCTCCATGTTGAAGGCAGTGAGTCTTTCACTATATAAAAGACAGTCAGAGTGATCAACTGGTCCCATATTGGAGCACGGCAGTTTTGATCAAGATCGCACTGGACCTTTTCGATGGGAATATATGCACTATACAAGCTGTCTTCTATTCAATTCTGTGGCTGTGATGAGTTTACAGTGAGATCGCCTGACATATTGGCCACTATGAGACACCGTCCTACCTAATCTGGACATTTGAGCTTAGTCTTCTTTTCATGTTTTTGAAGAACCAGCAAGAACACAATCAGAGCGATCCGCTGATCCTGTTTTGAAATTGGAATTGGACAGGAATGGATTTTTAATCAGGACTCCGCACTGGACATACTGGTTGGATTTTGTGCCTTTCTTGCGTGTTTTATCCTGACTCATCCCACAGTGAGAGCTGAACAGAACGGCCTCTACGGGATGCCATCCTGCCTAATCTGGGGATTTCAGCTGCTCTTTGTCTGCTAAGCGGAGATCCTACCACATATCCACGGACTCCCAACACTCTCCAACCAGATAAGTTAAAAACAACATGTAACGTTATTTCTTTAACAAATCCGGAGGACAACACATTTTGTGTTTGAGACTTTTCTTAAAGAAGGCTCATGTTGGGGAGCCTTTTTGATATTTTGTCCATAGCAATGTTGTAAAAAACGCTTTTTAATTCTGCGATGGATGAAGTGCCATGTGATTTTGAACCCACGTTCACAGAGAACCTCCATCATAAAGGAATATTGCATCCCTGCTGGAAGCACTCGCTATTTTTGTGATTTCTGTAGACATCTTTTGTGTTTTCTCTGTGTTTTGTCGTCTTTTTAAAACACAAAATGACACAAAATGTGTCACAATACTGACAACACAAAATGTGTGTTGTTCACTCATTTTTGAGAGTGATAGTTTTCACTGGATCAAGCCCCCCTGTTCTACCACTCATTGAGTTAATGTCCACGGTCTACTCCAGCTGATCAGCCGGCAAAACGGAGCCCAGCACCACGGCCCCGGACCTGCTGCTGTGTTTGTCCCGAGCAGGACAGGAGGATAAGGGCAGTGCAGCCCGGGGTAGAGGGCATGCAGGCAAGCAGCAGACAGGCCGGGTAGCCATGGCTCCTCTGTGGAGGTGCATGCTGTCTAAAAGCAGTCCGCTGTACCGCGACTCACTCTTCTCCTTCTCCCTGTGGGAGTGGCGCGCACAGGAGAGAGAGCTGACCCTGCTGAGGAAACAGACGGACAGAGAGAGGAGGGCGCTTCAGCGGCAGATAGAGAAGTAAGAGGAGAGCAAGTAGAGTTAGGAAGAACATGGAGGTGCATTGATGTTTGGTGCCTTTGGTAGAATACAGATGGCACAATACCAGTAGAAGTACTGAAACATTGAGCATCAGCCAATACTACTAATACATTATTATTATTATTATTATTATATACATCTTTTTTTCTACAACAATTGCGAAACGTTTAAACAACCCATTTTTAATGGAAGAAATAAACACAGCACTAACATACTAGAAAAATACTAAAATGACATACAGAACCACAGCTATTTTTAATCACTTACTGTCAACAAAATTGTATAAAATTAGAGTGTTTCATTGTAATTATTGTATAATTCATAGCTAGCTACCTGTTGTTGTCATGTAAGGCTGCATGTGGCTGCTGTTGTTATAACATTAGCTTTACAACTATATTACTCTACAAATAATTCTGTGATATTTATGGCTAAATGTGTTCTAGTTTGTACTTTTTCTTTAATATCCTAACCTATTCTGATATTGATACCAGTACTGGGTATTGTTATGGTCCCATCCCTACTATATATTTCCCTTGAACTTTGGACTTAATATTCATCATTAAATGAATATTAATCTTAAAAGGTAATGACACTGATATTTAAAACATCTACATGATGTAAACAAAGCCATTTAGAGTGGTTTGAAATGCTTTATTCTAGAGAAACTTGCTGACTCAGAGTTGTTCATACCTCACAGAAAGATTTTACACAGAATGATTAAAAATGTGCTTTCTGATGCCAGAAATATTGTTTTACGATAGTTTCGAGATCATGCTTTGGCCTAAAACAAGGGTATTTAATATATTCCGGGTGGAGATGTACACACAGGTTGTTGTAATGGAAAATAGGCCCCAAAATATGATTTATTCATATATTTACCATCATCAGGATCATATATAAAAACTCACAAGGTTCACTGGTCATTATGGATAGTAAAGACTGCAGTTACATAGTAGACATAATGAACTCTGGTTCCTATTACCACCACTGTAAAGTCAGTGAGTTTCTCTCCAATTAACCATTTCACAGCAAACCACTCTGAATGGCTCTGTTAACATCTCAAAATTTAATTTGTCAATTTTCTTGTTTTGAAATTCCCGTTTTTTAATTTTTCTATAACTGTTATACATTGTTCAGTAACTACTATGAAACTAGTGTGTAAGTTATGTTGTACTGAGAGTGAGGAATTGAATCATGTTGTTTTTACCTACTTGTCAATCAAACCTGCTTACCCACCCCTCAAGAAGCACTTCCTGCTTATTTTTAAGCACAAGATGCAGTGAGGATGTGTAATAGATAAACAGTTAGGGACAATAGAGTCTGGAAGTGTGTGTGTGTGTGTGTGTGTGTGTGTGTGTGTGTGTGTGTGTGTGTGTATGGGAGGAAGGGACATGAGGTGGTGTTGCACGTTTGTGAGCATGTTTTGGCGTCAGTTTGCCGTCAGCTCAGTGCCAAGCCCTTTAATCAAAGAACAATCAGTCTGAATTAACCCCTCTCTGAAGGCACTCCCAGTCCAAAATTAGCCTGATGTACTGCACGGCAAAGGCAAGCTGGGATGTACTAAGCACAGAGCTCATTACTACAGCTTCACCCCTTTCATCAGATACTAAACAGAAACTGTAAAACACTTTTATATTTGTTTTTTTTTACATGGGAACCAGGGTTGGTTGTTATCTGAATGAACTTAGACATTTTTATCTGAATTTAGTAATGAAGCAAAATGTTAAACCTGCTTTGCTGCATGTGTGACTGTGTTACTTTAATGAGACCAGCACAATTGTCTTTTCTTTTTAGCCTCTTAAACTGCTTATCAGTGGGAAACACTCAGGGTTTTCTGGGAATTAAAAATACATGTTTGTCAGTTCATTTTTATTTAATAGCTTGTTGTATTTAAATTCTGCAGGTATTGTCATAAAGCTCCTCCTTCATTGTTAAGTTTTGACTGGTAACAAAAGGGTTAAAATCTTAAATCCCCAAAAGAAAACCACTGGTTTAGGACTTTAAGAACTGGACAGAAAGCCATACACATTATATTAGCTACCAGCATCACTAGGAACTAATAATGGTATCAACCAATCATGTTTTGGTTTACTGTAAGTGTGACCAATTTTGTGAGAGAAAATGTTACTCTGGGCCTTCTGGAAGTCCTAGACCTGTCACTGACTATGAGTACGGTTGTCTAGCCAGGTTTAGGCCTGTTATTAGAGATAGAAAACATCAGCCAGGCATGAAACAGCGATCACTGGAAAACAGCCACATACAAGATGAAATATATGTTACTGTCTGTTGCAAACTTCACCCTTGTGTGGTGTTGGGGTCTGTAGGACCCATTTAAAATGTTTACCAAAAGTCGAAACGATGCAGTTTATTATTATTTCACCCTCAGATTTGTGGCCTTTGCTCATTTTCTGTGAAGAACATATAAAATAACCCATTTTCAGTGTCTTCACTCTGTTCACCCCCCCACTACATTTATATTACACATGTGGTGTTGGGTGAACCCACGGGGAGTAAAAGTGTGGAGGTGCTGTATCTTTCACTCTGTTCTCCTCCTACATGGCCTGCTGTTAGTGTGTGTGTGTCTGTGTGTGTATGTGTTTGTATATGTGTATCTGTGTGTGTGTGAGGGTGGACAACATGGACAGGCTGCTAACTGGCTACAGCTGCTAAAGGAGAACCCTACACTGGACACTTATGATATTTTAAACATCTGGTATTTTTACATAAATTGTTATGACTGGATTGATTTAAAAAAACAATAATGTGGTGCGTCCACCAGACCACTGAGTAACAAAAACATGAACATCCCAAATAAAAATATCTTGTAAAAAATCTTTTACAGGCTTCCGTTGTGCGTGTTTAGACTAGAATGGCCTTTGTGGCTAATATATTTTTAGAAATTTGATAAGGGTGCTAGCAGAAATTAGCATTAATGTAAGGGTGTTTTCTTGTTTTTTAATGTTTCTAATCTGAAATGAACGTAAATCTCTAATACTCACAGTTTACCTCCGAGACTTATTATTTAACTTAATAAGTAATTTATTCAGTAACTTTAAGCAATTTATTATTTAGTAACTACTCTAAAAGTTTCTGTAGCCACTATGAAACCGTTATGTATGTATATGTAGTGAGATACATAGTTGTTTACATGTTTTTAGTTTTATATTAAACATTGGGTTTCTACTTCAGTGTATTTCTAGGTTTAAATCCAGGTTAAATGTTGTGAGAGCAAGGAAGTGAAAGCCCACATTCAGGTCCTGAGGGTATGAAGTGTATGATCGTATTGAAGTCCAACCATCTCTAAATGATAAGTTATGGAAATGTAGTGATCAGTGCTCTGTGAGTATTTCAGTGTTGAGAGTGCCATGTGAGGACAAAGCTTTCTCCAGAGTGGTGCTCCTACAATAGAACAGATCTGAATTTTGTATCTGCTGTAGTGTTGACCGCTGCCCCTTTCTGCCCGGCAGGTTGAGTAAAGAGCTCCAGCAGAAGGACAAGCTGATAGAGTCACTGCGCTCCAAACTGGACCAGCAGCAGTCCCGCCCAGATACACCTACCAGCAGTCACGCCCTCTCAGAGGCCACTGACCAATCAGAGCACACGTCCTTCATTTCTGATGAACAGGGCTCCACCAATGAGGATCTGGAGTTGTGCTCAGAACTGGATGCTGCCAGTGAGTTCGGCCAAGTGGAGGCAGCCGAGAGGAGCACTGCTGGTAGGCCAAGTGCACACACACATAAACACGCACACACACACACATACACACACACACACACACACACACACACACATACTCGGTGTGATTTTCCTTTATGAGTTCATTTCTAGTTTTTTGTGTTCCTCTGTTTTGAATACTTTTATTGGATTCCATCTTTACATCTCATCTCACCATCCCTCTCTTTCATAGGCTCTCACTGTATGCAGGGTGCCGCTCCATCTCATGCATCCATCTCATCATCCCTCACTTCTTCACATGGCCACCAGTCCTCCAACAGCTGTCCCAGCATGCACTGCACCCCTCATAGGCCAGTGCACACAGGTATGACCAGAAAGAGGACATGAAATCACTTTTTTGTTTCCTACTAACAAAAATGCTTTATTTAAAATCAAATAGCTAAAAAGTGAGAAATTCAAATGAGTTCTTAACTTGACCTGTGGAAAATCCAGCAGGCTACAAACTACTGTGATATCTGCCTTCTCCACCATACCTGTATATACACTTATTAGCCCCTTTGTTAGAACCTTCCTTATACCTCCATACACTACTTTAAGAGATACACCAACAGGTGAGACCAACAGTTATAAACCTAGACTAAAGACATTTAAACTCATTTTTTACAGTTCCACACATTCTTTGTTACCATACATTTCCTTTGAGGTAGTTTTAAAACAGTAGATTAGAGACAGATTTATTCCAGCTTTAAATCACTGTGTCAGATTCCTGTGGGTCAAAAGTTTAAATATACCAAGTTGACGATCTCTTTAAAAATTCTGGAAGATTGCAGAAAATTAATGAAATGAATTTTGAAAGCTTCTGATTGACCAGTTGTCATAATTGAAGAATTGATTGATTTATTTGATAATAACCACAGGCTGCCATAAGGGGAGGTTTGGAAATAGTTAAATGAAAGCATTGACATAATTAAAAGGCTACTATGTAACTATTATTGTATAAATGTTATTTATATTTATTATAATATAAGTGTTTTTCTGATAGGCACTTTAGAATCCAGACAAATAGATAAATATATTTAAAAATATAATTCTCTTTTGGACAGTACTGTATATGAAGAAGACTGATCAGTTTCATCAGCAAAACCTCATCTCGCAAATCCTATTCTCATTCTCTATCTTTCTACCTCCCGTTGCACTCAGGGCTCTGTGCTGGACCTGTGTCCAGTCCTGTCCCCTTTCCCCAGACCCCCCACTGTCACCCCAGCCTCACTGCTCAGATGGCCTCCACGCCATTTGACCCCCAAACCCAACATCTAAGACCCCGTTATCACAGCGCTGGGGGCTTCTCCCTGGCTGAAGTGCACCAGGAGCTGCAGATGCTGCAGAGGCAGCTCGGCAACAGTGAGCGTGCAGTTCTGCTCCTGTTTGTTTGTTTGTGTGTGTGTGTGTGTGTCACACAGACTAACATAGTACAACCTGCCTTGCTTTTAATGTGTGTTTTATGTGCATTAATGTGGGACGTCACTAGCGATAAACATTTTTCTTATAAAACCAGAATCACTGGTCATATGAATACCTTTTGTTATATTTAAATGTTAAAAATAGACACCAAAATGTATTTTGGATCATTTAACAAGTTAGTAAATAACTGTGGTTTGTAGTTTGTCATTTATTTTTTTGCACAATTTCAAATACACACAAATAGACAAAGATAACATACAGTGCAGGGAGAGGCAAAAAAACCTAATAGGCAAATTAAAAGCCTCCTCCTAAATAACATTAAAATTCCACAATATTATGGAAAATACAAAATAATATACAACATAATAATGACAAACAAACATTGAATGACTTAAATATTAGCACTGACATAACACAAAAACATATAAACATGAAGCATATGTGTGTTGTGTTTGTGCACAAGAGCGTCCATGCATATATATGAGATCAATAAATATATATGTTTGTGAAATGATCAAGTTTTATACACCCATATTAATTCCTGAGCACTGGTAATAATAAATATCACAGTAAATAAAGCAAATAAAACATGGAGATTTAGACATCAATAAAAAACAACTACAATACAGATATTAAATTGTCTTTTAAACATTTTTATAAGATTTTTATTTTAGTTATTTTTATTTTATTTGTTATTTTAGTGCCCCTAAATCTTGACCTCTACAATTGAAAATTGACCTCTACAAGTGAGAAAATTAGGAGGATGAAGTTCTAAATATTGACGAGTTAAATATGGATGAACCTCTGAATTTTTTGCAATAATTTTTAAACTGCTCTGGAATAATCCCTTCACGTGAATATATCTTATAAATAAAAAAAACACATATTTGAAAAATATTATTATCATAAATGGTAAGAATCTGAAGCTTCTGAAATAAAGGAGAAGATGGCATATATAAATCTGATCGGGTTGCAATCTTAACAGAACGTTTCTGGAGGACACAACTTTTGTGAAGAGTAGTGGAGAAAGTATTTGCCTAATCTATATTACAATATGAATAATAAGGATAAATTAGACTATTATAAAGAGTAATAAATTATGGATTCCAATTTTCCATTTGTCTCGAGATTTGATCACCTGATTTGAAATGAGGCATTGTAGATATTATTTGAAGTTCTTGATGCTGTGCAGCATTTTAGAATCATCCACAGCTACATTCATCAATCTGGACGCATCTGAAATTTCTGAATTTTTTTACAGCTTCCTAGTTTTCTAACATTTTAACAGTGATTCCAAATAAAAAAAGAAGAAAAGAAATAAAACTGCTGACCCCCAGGGTTATGAGTCAAGCACAGACACTAAAATCATGGATGACATCACTAATCTGATGTGTAATTCTTTATTCGCATGGGTGAGTTTGTTCCACTGAAAACAGATGACACACAGGTCCTTGATAAATGCACGATTTACAATAACGACCGACTGGAGAGGATGAAGCATTATTCACAATTATAATTCGTAATTGCCTAATCATCCCTAGGCCACTCATGCTGGCTCTGTCATCTATCAGACCTAATAGCAGTCGTGACTTATGGCTGTGTGTTTCTAGTCTATTAACCAAGGTCTTGTTCCTTAATTCAATCTCTGTTGTCCTAAGCAAACCTCCAAGACCCGGCATGTTGGCTTATGGCATTCTAACGAACCAAACTGTGTCACCTGAAAATGTCACTTAGTAATTTTTTTCTGTCTGTTTTGTTCCCCTCTGTTCTCTCTGTGTTCAGGCTTTAGTGGTGCTCAGGTCAAACCCCTGTCAAGTTATCCACTGGGCACAAACCCTCAGACTGACCCCAGCAGCTTCCACCTGCTGTCCCAGCAAGCCTTTCACCAGTCTCCGCTTGCCAGCCTGAATGCCAGCCCCGCTCTGAAATCAGGAGCCGGACTCCTGGAGAACAGTGCATTGTGGGATATGACATATGGGTCTCAACCCATGAGGGAAGGTGCATATGGTGATGTTTCCTCAGGCTCGTCAGGGTATCAGTCTGGTGCCAGGCACACAGGTACTAAAATTCATGGGGATGCCGGTCATATGATTCACATAAACATTTTGATATATAAAACATATTTTTCATGTATTTTTGTGATTATTGCATTTACATTTATGTCTATATTTTACAGAAAATATTTTCATTTATGTTTTTGTACTGTTATATTTTGTCTCTGTCTTGAAAAGAACAAGGACCTCCATTTTTTTCTATTTTTTATTTTTCTACATGTCTTAAGCTCAGTAGCTGTTGACATTTTGGACTTTTTTTCCCACAATGATGATTTTACCATACCATATGTATAGTAATATATAGTAATATATCATTTTCATACTGTGTCACAGGAACAGATTTGATGGAGGAGCACCTGAGGGAGATTCGCAGTCTCCGTCAGCGTCTAGAAGATTCCATTCATACCAACGATCGTCTGAGGCAGCAACTGGAGGACAGACTGGCTTCTATGGCACGAGATGGAGGTCAGAGTATTAATTGAATTATTTCTATTTCAGACAAGATAAATGGCGATAATTAATTTAGACAGAGTTTGAGCCTGAATTTGAGAGAAAAGGATTGATATTTTTAAACCAAATGCAAACTATTGAGTCTGCAGTAAGTTTTTCATATTAACACTAAGTCTAAGCTACAGTACAGGTTCATATAGCAATTTCTACAATGTGTTAAATCTTTTTTTTAAATACCCCCATTTTATGAATTTATCATTAAAATGCACTATAGATAAACACAAACCCTTTTTGTTTAATGTTAATACTCTGTGTGCTCCACATAGGGGTGGGAAATATGACAATATTTTGTCATTGTTGTAATAAATTATGTCATGATAATTTTCCCGATTGTATTATGGGTATTGTCAGAACACTGAACAACTGTGTAAAAAGATAGATTTAGAGTAGTTAAAGAGCCTATAAACAACAACTAGTGTATAGTAATGGCATAAACGGCTCAGTGACAAATAGTAAATTGGGTATCTGTCTTTTATGCCATTATCTTACTTTATTAATTCATTTTTACCAGTTGTTGTGGCACTATTGTTCTTCTGTTGCATTTTATTAATTACAGTTTGTTCACAACCCCAGTGAAAATGACTCACCATTATCCCCACAATAACTTTTTATCTTTATCTTTTAGGAGGTGCCCCTACAAACATCTACATTCAGGGCTTGGATTCGGTCAGTCAGCTCTCTAATGAGGTTCGACTTCTGAAGGAGGACAATCACGCTCTCCAGAGTCAGCTTCAACAGGCCAGAAGAGGTACAGCTCACGTTACGTGCTGCCTTCAAAGCATTAAAATCAATCCTGATCTAATACAGATAGTAGAGCAGCCTTTGAGTATGTTTTCTACATTGAAATCATCTTAAATCTCTTCTGCAGAAAGCATGAAAGAGGTGGAGCAGTTGCGAGAGGCGGTCCTGTCAGGCCGTGGCAGGTTGAAGCAGGCGGAGCTGGAGGCGGAGAGGTGGGCGGAGCAGTGCAGGCGACTGCAGGTGCAGATGCAAGAGCAGGCGCAGGCGACTCTGCAGTTAAAGCAGGAAAGACAGAGTAGCCAGGAGAACGCCAACAGGTACTACAGCATCCAAAATCTGGCACAAATAAACAACGTTTGAGAACAGGACAGCACACCTAAATCCAAGCTGAAATGTAAGGCAGTCCCAAGTCAAGTCTGAACCAGTTTGGGTTTTTATGATGTGTCATTTTTTTAGTTGGTTAGATTGGTTCCTGCTACACTGCAACAGCTAAATTGCACCAATTGTGCACGAGTGCTTGTTCATTGGTGAGAAATTTTACAGGGATTCACATGGTTGGTTATCCTCACATTTTCCACCATTTGAGCAAAAAAAAAAACTACTTTGCATAAAAATGTGAATCACAGTCAAAGCAATAATAATAAACCTTTCTTGATATTGCTTCTTTATGATTGGTTTGTCAGTTTGAATGTAACCAATCAGGCCGCTGATGCAATGCGTTCCACTATCCATGTGCCAGAATCAAACGTGTTGCTTCGCCATTACTTTATTGCTCATCTGCCATTATAAATGGCAGTTTATACTGCTAGAATATGAGTGTCTGTAAAGAGTTAGACAATGCTGATGTTAAGCGATGTTTCTTTTGGTGTGCACAGGCTCCAGCATGAGGTTAATGTTCTCCAGCAACAGCTGAGTGAGAGCAGACGACTCGTGCATACACTACAGTGTGAACTGCAGGTGTACCAGAGAATGTGTGGTCCTGCCAAAAGTCTCAACACAGGTAAAGCTCATGTGCTATACACAGTAAAAACTTCCAGGATCCTTAGCAGCTCCACTGATTGTCCTGTAACACCTTCTTCTCCTCTCTTGGCTCCCAGGACCTGGGCAGAGATTGGCTTTTGATTTGAAGGAGCCACAGTCTCACATGCGCTTGCTGGAGCAGCAGCTAAGTGATAGGCTGGACCCCAACATGTCCCATTCTTCTGTTAGGAAACAACTCTTCCACGGTGAGTGAGTCAATCTTGTGGCCAACTGTCCTAATTTAAAGACAGCTATGTACATGAGGTCATGTATATGTATCAATGACCTCATGGATTAAATAGCTTCGAAAGAATAACAGGATACCTTTCTTTCAGTCGTTATTAACAAAATGGCAGTAAATAACAAAAGATAATATTGATTGTTTATGAAAAAGACATAATTTAGAGTTAACGTAACTCGATTTCACATGTCAGTACACAGTATATTAACGCAAATCCAGGCTGTATCCTGAGCATAACAGAAAGGGGGCTATAGTAGGCATAACCCACGCAGGGGTTGAAGAAATTTTGCGGGTCCAGATGTGATCTCACAACAAGAATATCTATCTAGGTATAAACCTATTTATCTAAATTTTGGTGCTAGATTGGAGCAAAATCTGCCACTAACAAGGGTTTGTCCCCTCTAAAACATGCCCCAAATTCCTCTAGTCAGTGCCTTTTATTGTCCAGAGCGGTCATAACGCTGTTAGCTAACAGGAGGTAATGTTTATTTTTACTGTAATGTGTAATGTGTTCTCTGCACACGCAACACACGTCTATATGCTTAACTGGACTTTTTGGGGGAACTTTTAAAATGTGCTAACTTACTTTACATCCATGGGCTAACAACAGTGTTGCTGTCCATTGAACAGTGTTAACAAGCACTCCTTCGCTCCTTTCTTTGAGCTGTGCCTTCATGAAGCATTGGATTGGTTTAGGAATTTAACGCTCAGTTTGTTCCCGGCCAGTAAATCTGTGTTCCTATCCACATTTAGCCCATATTTCTCACTTATCCCCAGACATTCTCATTATAAGATAACATCTGGCCCCACGAGTCTCAGGCTAAACAAGAACCTTCTTCATAGCATTTCAGTGGATGCACACCCCACCCTCTATTTGGTCTTTATGGTTTTTTGCCTATGCATGAGTGCAGCAGTACACACTTCTCAGCTGTCAACACATGCATTTTTCTTTGCTTTTGGAATAACATCTCTTATTTTGATATAAAAGTCACACTGATGACATCACTTGACTTCCTTTTACCCATTTTCTGAGGATCTATGTCTTTCAGTTAGCTGTGTCTTTCAGTTATCAGACATTTTCTCATTTAGCTCATGATTTTATATTAAGTTTTTAGTTGAAGTCACTGGTGTGACATACTTTATTCTTAGGTAACTGTGAAAAAGTAGAATACAAATGGATTAAATTACATATTTTAGTGGATGTTCCATGATTGACAACATGTGGTTTGATGCTCTGTAGCAGACATTTTGTAAAAAGCATTTTTCATTAAAAATGTCTCTGGTGTTACCTTTCTTATGTGTTACACCAATGAGGATCGGTAACACCAGTGACGCCTATGGAGAGATAGAAAAGTGGACATTTCTGTAGAATAAGGGCTGTGCACTGAAATTCATTGGCTGGCCATTGTCAATTGCATTTGTGTACTTGTTTCTGGCTTTAAAGTGAATTAAAACTGGTGTTACACAAGTGATGTCCTAGTTTTGACTCTGTTTGTAGATCCGTCTCCCTCTCCTCCTGTTCGAGACACGGGACTCTTCAGCCCGGCTTCACCTGTTTCTGCTGAACCAGATGTCCTTCAGTCTTCTGCTAGCGGTGAGGCATACTCTCTTGAAAGCCACTTAATGATTTAAAGCACATTTACACGGAAATGACAAATCCATATATCATCCAACATATGATACAGGGTTTCTTCCTTAGACAGCCAATACATGTGATATAGGATTGCGTGTAATGTCATTTTCACTTGGTATATGAAAGCCAACCATTGATCCTGGATCAATATTCTTACACAGCGTTTGATACATGGCATACCTAAGTCGATAACGCACTTAGCGAAATGTGAGAAGTGATACGTTTATTTTGAATTCCTATTGATTAACTAAGTTGTATATCCTGAATAGACTCAGCCAAGTCTTGCACAGGAAGCCACGGAGAGAGCGAGGTTCCTGACGGCTCCTTCGCCTGCAGAAAAGGGCGTCACGTTGTGGGCCACGTAGATGATTTCAGCGCCCTGCAGCAGCAGCTTCTGGAGGCCAAGGTGCTCATTCGCAAGATGGAGGCTGCACTCCAGTCCAGCACGGAGGTCGGCCTACAGGAGGTCAGTCAGAGGGCCCTTCGGGTCACTGCACCAAAAAAAGTGACGCATTCTTTTTTTCATTGAAATGTGTAGTGTTTTTTTACATGAATAAAATAAATTACACCAATAATTATTTCCAAATCTAAGTCAACTTAAAGAAAGAACAGATGATTAGAAGTAATGTGTTATGGTTATGTAGAAAGGATGGACACAAGTTGAATCAAGTAAATTGAGTGCATCACTTTTGTCAGTGTTCGAAGGCTAATGATCAACAGCATTTATAGCGTCATAATGAAATCTAGCGAGTCCTTCTCTTAGATTCTTTTCTTCATGTAATATTTTTGGGTCTGTTTTTCATGCAGGTTTTAATGTTCTAGCAGTGACTTTTGTGTTATCTGAAATGAGCTAGAGGATCTTTAGCCTTATTGATTTTTTAAATTGGTCAGAGTGTGTGGAGTTACTGGTCGCTTCATGGAGTTATGACATAACTGACGTTTGAGGAAAGACCACACCTAAACTCCTCCTTCTCAATTCCAGCTTCCTATAAGTACCAGTCCTTCAGTCCACCTACTCATGACAAAATTCCTCAGAGTTCCCCTCCTCTCATTATCTCACTTACCAAGGCGTGGTCTGCATTCACAAAATGTTATTATGTGTAATTTCCTTTGATACGCAAGTACCAGAATCATTTTATTCAATTAATGCTTCACCCAAACACTGCTAATAGTGAATACTTATAGCTAACAGGGCCCAATTAGTCATATATAGATGAGGCAATAATGATTTTGCATGAAATTTCGTTGTTAGAATTTTTAGTAAGGATTCATGTTGTTTCTCTTTGTTCAGGGATGTGTGAAGAGCTTGCTGACTAACACTAAAACCTTGAAGCAGATTTTAGAAGCGACATCCTCTGTCCTCAAAATGTTCTGGAGGGCAGCTCTCCCCAGCGCTGAGGCCACCACACAGCAGCTTCAAAAGGTCAGAATACTCAGGGTCCCTGCAAACTAGGCCAAAGTGCCCACACATATTTGTTGTTGTTTTGTTTTATTGATTTTTTAAAAAATACAACGCTGTGGGCTCAATGAACACATTAAGCACACCAGCACATTTTCAGTATTTTCTATTGGCCAAAGTCACACTATAAATAACATTTTAACCCTTTAGTAGGCCAAACTGGCATTTGACATTCCTATATCAAAAGTCGCCTATTTAACCCTTCTGTGGTGTTGATGTTGTTGTTCCTCAGTGGTCTGGTGGACCCACCGCATTATTGTTTTTTTTAAATCATAACCATAACAATTCATATAAAAATGGCAGATGTTTAAAATATCACAAGTGGCCAGCGTAGGGTTCTCCTTTAGCAGCTGTAGCCAGTCAGCAGCCTGTCCATGTTGTCCACCCTCAACAGACACACACACATATACAAATGCATACACAGACACACACACACACACTAACAGCAGGCCATGTAGGAGGAGAACAGAGTGAAGGACACAGCACCTCCACACTTTTATTCCCCGCGGGTTCACCCAACACCACATGTGTAATATAAATGTGTAGGGGGTGAACAGAGTGAAGACACTGAAAATGGGTTATTTTATATGTTCCTCACAGAAAATGAGCAAAGGCCAAGAAATCTGGGGTTGAAATAGTAATAAATCGCATCATTTTTTTATTTTTTATTTTAGTAAACATTTTAAATGGGTCCCACAGACTTGAACACCACACAAGGGTTAAATAACATGAATTAAATAAAGTGCTACGTTGAAAGAAAGAGGCAACTGGCTGTTTAGCACAATGAGTTCTGCAGCACCATTTTGTTATAAGTGAAGCAAAGGCATTCAAATACAGTGTGAGTGGAGTTACCTGATTCACATTATTCATGCCATATAAATGTAACAAAGATCAGTTAAAATCAAAGTAATAAATTGTCCGACTGTGTTTCGAACAAAAATCTGCCAATTCTGATCGCACTTCTCTAATTTTACATTTTATTTTTAGTTTGTTATGAAATTGTTGATTGTTTCTCTATTTTTGACTCCTTCTGTGCTGCAGATGAAACTGAGGGATGTTTATTTGAATGTTGTGTGTTTACCTCTGTGCGTAGGAACAGACTCTGAGAGAGGAAGTTTTCTCGCTGAGACGCAAACTGTCTGAACAGGACCAGGCTCTAAGGGACTCTATGGAGACTCTGAGAAGCTCCAACCGCACCAAGGACAGCATGGAGCAGTTCATCGTCAACCAATGTAAGCCTCGTTAAAATCTCTTTTTATGTCTCTCTCCCTCCTCTGTCTTTCCTTCTGTCCTCTTTAACATTTATATTCAATGAGGGAAGAAATTTGCCCAAGGAGGTTGACTAACAGGGTGACCGTTGTCTTGTGCGCATGAGAGTGTGTTTATGTATGTACTTGTTTTCGTACATTTTCAGAAGCAGAAAAAAGGGCTGGGATGTTGAGACAAACATTTTTTTTAAGCTGCATGTTTAATTGTTCACAAATAAAAGAGTGAAACAGTTTCTTTGTGGTTCCTGAGGTTAAGATTAGGGTTTATGTACATCTGTATTACATACAGGTACTCATATATACAGCACTGTGCAAAAGCCTAAGCACATTGTTCAAAACCATTTATCTTGGCAATAAATGTGTTTTATTATACAGCAAAAATAACAACGAACTTATTCTGAGAAAAGTAGTTGATATCTTTTAGGGTGGATTACAGGAAAAAAATTGGTTCCAGGTTTCTCCTCAAAGCCTCCAGCCAATGCATGGGTTTGTTAAATTCCATCACCAGCATACTTGATTTAACATGATTGATTAGCCAAACCAGGCACTGGATGATAACTACAAATAATACAGGGCTGCCATGAGGAGATGGGATTCAGCAAACACGCTTGCGTCTGTAAAATCACTCCTTTTTTTATTTATAATTATTCTTAGTGTTTTTCCTGAGCAAATAAACACCCGATGCTCAGATAAACAGCTTCTGAAATCTAATTTTCTCCAGTGCCTAAACACTTTGCATAGCACTGCACATTTACCATGTATGGAACATATTTGTCACCTCCTGTCCTGACACTGTATGAAAACAAGCGTGTATGTGTTACTGTGTGTGTTTGTGTGACTCCCCGAGCCTCCAGCTGTTGTTTGTGATAAAGCTCTTTTTGTGGATGGCTGCACATTGAGGCGCTTTGCTGTTGTCTGTTCACAGTGTCCAGAACGCGAGACGTGCTGAAAAAGGCTCGCACAAACCTAGAGGTGAGTCCATTCTCTCACACCTTCACTGCAGCTGCCACCATCAATATCCACTCACAGCTTCTCACCTCACACATCCTCAAGCACTGTCGCTTTTCTTCCCCCAGACTTTTCCAGAAGGATTGTATTCTCTACAGCCTGTTCTGTGCTCTTTTGCTCTCTCTTCTAATAATCTTACATATAGTGTTCAGCATTGGCATTAGAGCCAATAGATACTGATTTTAGGGGCTAAAAATTAATATTGGCTGATGTGATTTTATATTAGACTATATTAGATGTTAGACTTCAATTTTTACTGCCATTTTATACTGATGCAAAAGGTGATATGTGGGTACATTTTACATATTTTTCATTCTAACCAGTTTAGCCTGCATTGCTGTAATAAAGTTAAAGGGGAATCCCACCTATTTTTCAAAATTTCTGCATAATTTTATTGTTAATATGTAAACAGAGTCATTCAGAGTGGTTCGATGTGAAATGCTCTGTTCTGGGTTAAAAATTATTCACAACATTAGTGATAAAACATCTGAAGAGTTCATCTTCACCCTATTTTAAACATCTGAATGTGTTTAAAATAGGTTGACCTTATTTTGGTTTCCAAAAAAGAAGACACCGGGGGCAGGAAGGCAGCATGGGACAGACTGTAGAAAGCGAACGTCAGCATGAAAGCAAATCAGTTAAGGCAGCTTAGACATCCCAGCTGGGCGTGTTTTTTACACCTTGCCCTGGAAAAAGAGAGTGTGAGGTCACCGTAACCTAAAAGCTACTTCACAGAAATTGTGACACGGTTGCAGATACGCTGCTTAATACCCTAAGTAGGGAGGTTTCTCTACAGTGAACCATTTCACATCAAAAACACTTTGGGTTACTTTTTATGTACTTTTACACAGCAGGTGTAGAAAAAACATTAAATGAAAGAAATGCAGTTACAAGGTCAGATATATGTGTGGGCTATAAAAGGCTGCTGTCTTAGACTCTGTCTGAATGTGCATGAAAATGTATATTAGCTGTATTAGCTGAAAACCTATAAACAAATAGAGCTATGGAGTCAAAAAAGGGTCAAAAAGATGTTGAGCTTGTAAAACAATATTCACAAATGTACTTAATATTGCAGTTGTGTTTGAGCAACTACATACATGTAAAATCCAAATTCAAATAATTTGGAATCTACAAATATGAAACCAAATAATAATAATAATAATTCAAATTCACAAATGCGTAAAAATATTCTGAATATATAGAAAGGTTGTTTGAATGTGGCATTTGTAAATGAAATGTTGTGAATGTGTGAATCAGTGCTACTCAAATGATTTACTTTGTGCCTGACCATAAAATCACATGAAAAGTTCCAAGTGTGCCATCGGGAGTTTTTCAGTGTGACGGTACAAACCTGCGAACACGTCTCCATTTCTGTTTGTGTGAACTTCTTTTTACAACTATGGATTTTTGACCCTGTTTTGATGGCAAATTGATGGACCAATAGGGAAGCTTGAACTGGTCCAGTCAGAAAGCGAGTTTGATTTATCCAATCACAACCCTGATTGGTTGCTGTCAGTCAAAGCTTAGGTAAAAGTTGGTACCCGCCTCTAATGGCGCTTCGACCGAGAGCATATGTGGACATATTTGTATCTGATTCTACCAGTATGTATACATTTTTGACCCTTTTTGGACTTCATAAAACGCATTACAGATCTGTCACCACCACTGTAAACAAATCAACCATTTCAGAGCAAACCACTCTGAACGACTGTTTACATCTCATCTTCTGAATGATTTTAAAAAGTTTTGAAAAATCTGTGGAACTCCCCTTTAAAGAGGAGGAGTAACTCTTTCCCAATCCCATAGCTTTCTAAAGTTTTGTTGAAAGATCTCAACTTCAAATTCCAGCAATTCCTCAAACAAAAAGTCAGGAATTATCCTACTTTCACCAGAACCAATAAAACCACAGGTTCTCACCATCAGCCAATACTATCAATAACAATATACTGAATGGACTCTAATCAGCAGGTGGAATTAGAGCTTTCTGTGCTGCCATGTAGTTTGTAATACTACACAAAAGAAGTGAGGCCTTTATCATGGGATGCACTGCAGTTTGGAGTTTCTGAGTGAACTGCTCATGTGTTTAGGAAGAGAATTCAGACAGACACACGTTTATTTTTTGTTTGCTTCATCAGAGCAACAACTAAAGGCCACTGAAGTGTGGAGTATTTTCTTTGACCATATATCTGCTAAATGGTGACACTACTATCTACAAATATTCGGCTTTGTTAGCTCATGCTCTTTACACATCAAGATCAATGCAATGACTGCATTGGGAATATTGAGAAAATTATTAAAGACAGAAATAGGCATATTTTAAATGTTTCTGCCAAAGAAACGTTCGTTAGAGCTGCAAAGAGTGAAACAAACACAGTTAAGAGAAGAGTGTCATAACGACTGTGCAGCACTGTCACCTTCCTCTCTTTCACTGGCTGTTTCTTCCCTCCTGTTCCCGCCTCCCTCTCTCTCTCTCTCTCTCTCTCTCTCTCTCTGAGTTCTTCCAGAAGAACGAGCTCAGGATCTCCTCTTTAAGCTGCTCCTTTTCTCCTCCCTCTCCTCAGTCCTTCTCCTGTACTCCTCCCTGGGCTGTTAGAGGTACACCCCTGGCCTGCTTTGCCTTTGGGAGCATGTGCATGTGTGTCTGTGCATTTACTGCATCTCACATCAGGCCCAGCACACTTAACACAAAGAAGTCTGCAAGAAAGTAGAGCTGTTTTGTTTCATGCTGAGCTTTTTAAAGTGTTTAAATATCTTACTGAGGTCTCACATTTTGTCCTCTTGTGGTGATATTGCTGCTCATCCATATGCAAATCTTTGGAGCTGTTTTTTAATGGAAATTATAACCATTTTTCAAATTTCTTCACATTGAAACTCCTACCTTGTCAGTCCACCTTGTAGATGTAAAGTCAGAGACGATAGCTCATCTGCTGCTGCACAGTTTGTGTTGGTCATCCTCTAGTCCTTCATCAGTGGTCACAGGATGCTGCCCACAGGACGCTGTTGGCTGGATATTTTTGGTTGGTGGACTATTCTCAGTCCAGCAGTGACACTGAGGTGTTTAAAAACTCCAGCAGCACTGCTGTGTCTGATCCACTCAGACCAGCGCAACACACACTAACACACCACCACCACGTCAGTGTCACTGCAGTGCTGAGGATGATCCACCACCCAAATAGTACCTGCTCTGTGAGGGTCTATGGGGGTCCTGACCACTGAAGAACTGGGAAGCAGATGGACTACAGAAATCTGAGCCATTAAGTTTCTCTATAATGAACCTTTCCACGTCAAACCACTGTGAATGACTTTTACATCTCAACCACTGTATTATTACCAAAAATCTGAAGAATCAGTGGAATTCCCATTTAGTAAGTTTAAGAAAATCATTATTTAGATAAAACCTACTATCACTGCATCACTGCATAATCCACTTTGGGAGTTAGATTAGTTAGAAGTAAATACTGCACCTCTAACAGATCTTCTTTCTGACTTCAGGTGAGGTCCCAGCCACCGTCTGCAGCTCCTCTCGTGGTGGAAGTATTATGACCTCTCCTGCCCAGGGACACAACCGAGCTCTGTCTGTCCCACTGCCAGCACAGTGCTTTGGCACACGGCGCCCTCTAGATGCGTTCTCCAGTAATGCACTCTCAGGATTCAGCACTGCTGTGTCTCCACTGTGCTGATAGAACTCAAAGCTCCGTTATGAGACGCCAGAAGCTTTATGAATGTCAGAGGCTGTTTGGCTCAGGGGTCACAAGTCCAGCTGTCATAACTGGATTCTGATGTCTGATGTCGTGCTAGCTCTTCTAGCGTGGTGTCCTATAGGACCATATTGTCACTCTCATTATGTAACCTCTAATCTCCAGAGTACTTCAGAACCATTTCTGTTGTTCCATGCATCATAAAATGTTCACACAATGTAAAAGACTGCAGGTGTAAAAAAAACAAACAAAAAAAAATAATAGGGGTTATGAGGTTTTGACATGACAGTGACAATACGCATGGTCTATAAAAGGCTGCTGACTTAAGGTGAATGAAAGAATATACCAGCTGTACTTGCAGAAAAGCCATAAACAAACAGAGCAGGTGGTCTCATCTGTCATCTGCGCCTGTATAGTTCATGCCAACCTTACTATGTTTTGCTGTTCATAAGCATGCAGTGCCATTGTTGTACATGACGTTGTCCTAATATGTTACTACTTGAGTTTTAGGCATGAGTTGGTCAAGGCATTAGACACCAACATCGTCCTGGTTCAAGTTCTGTTACGACGTTTATGAGAAACCAGCAATGGCGAGCGTGTGCAATAAAACACTACTGACCTGTTACACTGTAACCATGACAACGAGCAATAGTGCAATGCTGTTATGTATGATTGAGAAAGAGAAAAGCAGTTGCTTACTTTCAAACACTGTAGCCCTGAAAAGGGTAAAAAAGACAAAAAGAGGAAATGCGTCACTGCCAAAGCTAGACCCCTCCCACATCTCGCAGATAAGCTGGAGGGTATTATACGGCAGTATTTCACAGTCCTGGTCCTGAAGTGCAGCAGTGGCTTCCCTGGCTCACCCTACAAAACTGCACCAGCACTCGAGGACCAGGACTAATCAATGTTAGCGGAGCTGTACTTTACATTTTGACCCTTTTGTATTGTTACTATTGGAAAATAATGCTAGAACTTTTTAATGTTTGGTCCAAAAATGGTAGTCATGTTCTTTATTACTAGCTGTTGTATTATTGGTACTTTTTGGTAACGGACCAGCTTTTTTGTTTCTTTATTTTCTTTTCTTTTTGACCCAACACCTGTAAATTCATTTTAATAGAGAAGAAACGTATGTACTGACATACTAGATTTGCTACTCGACAATCAATCTGTCAAATTTGTTGGTCATAACACTGTAGAATGCGGGTCTGTTTTACTCACTACAGCTGTTCAGTATTTCGTTAAGCATGCAGTAGACTTCAGGTATTGCTTTCACATGTACAAACCTATCATGTGCCATGTTATATGCTTAGTATATTTGACCCGCTGAAAGGCTGAATCCAAAATGAATCCCCCCCCTGCATGACTGGATGGCAGGAGCCGATAGCTTTACATTCTGTCTAATGAACTGTAACTTTACATAGAGCAAATTTATAGGATTCAGCTTAAGTTATAGTTTTCAGCTTTGAATACTTCCAGTGTTACACTCAAACAGCGAGAAGCTACGGCCAGTTCTTTCCATACTGGATCTGACAAGTGCTAGAATCCCTTTAGACAATCATGTTTTATGAACATTTGAAATCCTTTTTAAGCAAAAATAAAAGCTACTAAACAGACCAAAGCGTGAGACAAATCAAGTGCACAGTTATGATACTGAAGCACTTCAAGTCACGAGTGAGCAATATTGTTACAGGGCCCACAAATAAATGATCATATATATTAGAAACAGTCAGTATTAATGTGGAAAGTGAGGAGAAAGAGTTGATAGTTTTTGTCTCTGTGCTGTTACTGTTATTCAGGGTTCAGACTGTCTATGCATGTGAGCTTTGGGAAAAGGGATGTGCGTAGAGGGTACGGACGGTTATTTTAATAAAAGGGAAGTTGACAAGTACGTGACTGTTTTTTGCCTCTTACTGGATGAGTAGAACTGAGCTTACAGCTGATTTAAACACCAAATGAGTTTGTTTTATAATCATACATAATATTTACCTGTTTTAGCATTTATTTTATAATAATTCACGGTGTTAATAGATTGTGCTCAAACATGAAACTGAAGTAATGAAGTCTGTCAAAGTGAAGCACTGATATAAGCATCTTATGAAACCATGATATGAAATAACTGAAGATTTGCACTAATAGTATTTGTAAAAGTAGGATGTTTGATGTGATCAGTAGGTGTTTTTATACATTCGTATAAGCACTTAAATGTTTGTGGTTAATGAGATTGTTATAGTCATATATTGTTATATTTAAACTATAATACTGTGCAAAAGTCAGAGACCACTCATTTCCTGTCAAAATGGGCAACATGTAGGTTATTTGGTCTTAGAAGTTAGTTGCATTTTCTGCTTCTCACAATCCAAGTAAACCCAATGTTCAGTGATGTTGAGGTCTGGACTCTGGTGTGGTCAGTCCATTGTTCTGTGAACACCAGCAGCTTCTTTGTTTGATTTTCATATCGCTGCTTTCGGAACAAAACCTTGTATCTCCAAAATGGTAACTTTTACAAGAGAAAGAAGAAACCTACTTAACTTTTAATGTTTTTTTCCAAGGAATTTCAGACCATTCCTTGTGGTCCGTTTATCATGAAATTTACACACAATGTAAAGGGTGACAGACATTTTCAAATTATGTCAAAACCCGAACTTTTTTGTCGATTTCCTTTTCTCTTTGTCGGGACCAAAGGCTGTCCCCTTCACCCCCAGGCCTCCAACATAATATGATGAATAAAAAGAAATCTTTTAATACCAGCTAAACACTTTCACTAGTAACTGTTTCAAGTCTAAGTTCTCGAAAGGTGTCAAAAAGGAAAGAGTCTTCAGATGCTGAGTTTGTGGAAGAGGAAAAAGGCTTCTTCTTTATTTCAGCATCAGGTGGCACAGAGTCTCGAGAGACCCAACTGCACAAATACAGTGTCCCAAACAACAGTTTATACCATTTATCTGGGGTAATGTGATATTCCCCCACCTTACTTCTCAAATTTGGATAATAGCTCATTCTCTAATAGGTGCATCTCTTCATCCATCAATTTGGCCATCGCATGATGAGCTCACTCCTCAAAACTGGCTTCATCAGGTTTTTACCAGCCTTCTTTACCTTTCAAGGTCAACTTGCCCCTCTCTTCACTGGGTCAGTAGGTCTCTCCGTGAACCCAGGGGCTTTCCAGTGTCTAGAATCTCCTATGCAGACAGACCAGGGCCGACCCTTTATGAGAGAATTAATGTTCTCTGTTAGCCAATACTACCTATTTGGTTATTGATGACAATATCTAATCTATTTGATTACTGATTGAGGGAATATTTGTTCAAATCTCCGCCAGCTTCTTGACAGCAACACATCCTTTCAGACTCATAGTGCTGATTTGTCTTCTCACAGTGGAAGAATGAACGGAAAAACCTGTGGATTTTTCCATATCTGAGGGAAGAGTGGTGCATATCTTTACATCATTTTTTGAACTCCACTTTTGGAAACTTCTGTTTTTGCACTTATTTTCTTTTGCCTTCCTTACACTCGTGGATTATCTAATATCTAATCTCCTCAGAAATGTCTCCTGACTGAATAATACTTAATAATAACTAATACTTAATGGCTGTTTTGACTGCAGGGTAAATAAATGAAGGGTGGTCTCTGACTGTTGCACAGTGCTTCATATTCTTACAGAATATTTTCATCCCACTAGATGCCAGTGGTGGCTGCCAGTTGTGCTCCTTGATGTGACATAAAAGCAGCCTGCAGGTTCAGTGTTACTTTGATAGCTCCTATTAAAAGGCTTTAAACTGACAGGTCAGCACAGTAAAGGCACTGAAGTTGCATCAGAGATCCACATTACATAAGCTTCTTGATAAGCTGTCAGTCACCATTAAGCTTGGCTGCATGTGAGTGTCTGAGAAGTGCAGTGCTCTTACTGTGTTTAAGACAAGACAACTCAGATACATTATTAGCTACATGCTCGACACAGAGGATGAAAAGCACCACTTTATTGAAATATTTAAAATACTTTAATGTAAACATGGGCGTTTCTAATATAACAAAATGTTGGGGGGTAAAAAAGGCAACACAAAGTTATTACCAATTCAGTGATCAGCAAACAGAACTAGCCACACATCGTATAAGGCACGTCTCCCCTCTCTCTGCAGTAGTGTGCAAAATAAAACATGATAACAGCACGAACAAAGTGTTTCATTCTCAAACTGATGCTTTTGCTTTTTTTAAGGACTCTCACTGTACGTTTGGTTTCCTAACCAAGTTGTGCGGATCTCTGTGTGATAAAACATACAAAACAGGTAAACCTGAGTAAATCCGGACTGAATTTTCTGTCTGTTTTTTAAGGAAAAACACCTGTTTCTCCTTTCACTGGTGCTCTGAGCCGTTTCCCAAAAGCACTGCAGCACAAAGAGGATAATGATGAATTGAATCAGTCTGTGTTGAACAGTGCAGTGGTTTGAACAGTAGGGCTGGGCAATATGACCTAAAACGTATAGCACAAAAATATTACAGGATTTTGACAACAACATCATGCAGGACAAACAAGAAACTACTGTAAAACAAACTTTTCAGAGCAGGGATATTTGGAAATGCTGGCCTAACCACAACAAAACTAAGGTGTTTAATGTTGGCTGCAAAGCCTGCGGAACTTATAAAGAGAATCACTGTATCACTGTAATGCAGTTCTGCATTGAAGGAACACTACAGCATTTTTCAACCTCATCTCTATAATGTCAATAATCCTGGACAATAAGGTCAAAGGGCCTCGCTCACCAATATCTTCACAAGTTTTTTCTTAAATGTGTTCTTGAGAAAGATTCTACGTCAGATTCATGACGTGTTCTTAAGCTGCAGAATTATTCGCACCTTTGTGCTCTCGAGTGTGTGTAGATTCTGTTCTTACCTGAGAACAAATCCAAATAAGAAAACACTGGTGAAGGTCAGAACCTTTGTGAAAACTGTAAGTGGGTTTTAAGAAGGAATTTCTTATGAAGATCAGCTGGTGAACGAGGCCCAATGTTTTTCCATGTAGGGAAGAACTGAAAACCTATTGACTCAAATGTGTACATAATAGAAGCCATTTGCTTTCATTTCCATCCGTAAACAGTTACATAAAGCAAGTACACTTTCATAAACTGATCAGTGAGCGACGTCTGTAAACTAAGCTGTAAATCTGCGTAAATTTTTCTTTCAAAGATGAGACGGTTTTTCCAGAGGGAAGAATTTGTGGTAATGTGTCCACATAGTAGTGTGGGTGGGTAGACTTTTCTTGCCTGATCATGCATGGAGACGAAGGCTATGTCCACATTACAAGCCTCATTGCTTAAAACCAATTTTTTGCTCAGATCTGATCTCCCCTACACGATGGTTCACACTCGTTTAGGTAAGGGACTCAAATCTGTCATTAATGTGAACGAACCAGCGTCCTCAAACGACCCGCATGCGCACATCCTACTCATGAATGAATCACGTGCATCATCAGCAAACAAACTAACGAGCAGAACGAGCTTCGCTGTGAAGATAATTAACTCTAATTAAGCTCTCAGCTTCATTATTAGAGCAAGACGAAGGAGACAAAGGTGAGATGTGCTGCTTTTGGAAGTTGGATTAAATAAGAATGTCATAACTCTCATGTCTGTCTCATCCTGAGAGCTCCATTGTTAGAGTGTACTGACTGAGTTTCAAATATGCTTTATATAACATTATATGTATTTCAAATGTTTATTCACAGAATTAAGCAGCTTCTCAATGGCCTCTATTTTGAGTTTGTTTAGATCCTATAAGTTTTCTATGCAGCAGATAGAGATTCGGTTGAAAAATGCCCAAGTATTCCTTTACAGGCCAGAACAGACCTTGCTTTGGTTTATGTAGTTAGTATGATGGCATGAAATATGTTTCCACTTCACTTGAATAGCCCTCTATGGATTATCTACAGATGTTCAAATTACTATATGCTGAAACCTGGTTGATCTGATTCTCAATAGCCTTAGGATTAGTGGTAGGATAAGGACTAGGATTAGGGTTAGGTTTAGGATCTGGGTTGAGTTTAAGGTTAACATAAGGATAAGGTCAGCTTTAGGGGAAATGTAGTTCAATTTTAATCACTTAGTTTGAATGTAAGTTAAAGCCGAGGCGAGTATCTACAACAGGCTCTCCAAATAAAGAATTAACTGACAAATTTCTGACTCTATTAAGTTTAACATCCCCATAAAATCATCACATCGCCCAGCCCTACTAGATACTCTGGATGAGGCTTAAAGCTGCACACTATGAATCTTTGGGACACTGGCGCCGTGGCACTGGAAGATGCTTCAGGAATTCTTTGTTTTCTCCCTGAACAATTATAAACAGTATTGGATGAGTAAAGATGTACACCCACACCTTCCAGGTGTTGGTGCCTTAGGAAATAAACTTTGGCTCATACAACTTCCCACCGCTATCGCCCCGTTAGCCATACACACTCATTCACTCACACTCACACCACCCACGCACACTGACACACACCTCACTTAGAAATGCCTAAGCCGGATTTCATGTACTCATACACCACGTAGCTGATGCTGACAGCAGGGATCACTTTCATGAAGTTGGGTAGGATGCCGCGGTAGAGGCCGAAAAAGCCCTCCTTCTCCACGACCTTCTTCACCAGCTTCGACATGGACACCTGCTCCGCGCCCTCCACAGACGCTGGAACACAGAAAAACTCAAAACTCACACTCTGCACAGTTCTCCTATTAACCCTTACAGGTAACAGTCACTGCTGGTAACAACAAAAAACATGGTGTCATTTGATATTGACATTTTTCACTTGTAGCTCATTGAAACAAGCAGAAATTCTGTCAGAAGTGTGGATCAACTTTCAATCAACACCAAATCTGTGTTCTGAAGTAGGAGGAGATATTTTTTAATGACCTGAATTGCATGAAAAGTTAATCAATGTTTTGTTTTGATGAAAAAAAAACATTTGACATTTTTTTGTTGTGGGCTGGAGGTTAGGGAACCAGCCTTGCGAATGGAAGGGCGCTGGCTTGATCCCCTGAGCTGACAGTACGTGACTGAAGTGCCCTTGAGCAAGGCACCTAATCCCCAACTGCTCCCCGGGCGCTGCGGATAGGGCTGCCCACCGCTCCGGGCAAGTGTGCTCACTGCCCCCTAGTGTGTGTGTGTGTTCACTAGTGTGTATGAGGTGTTTCACTGCACAGATGGGTCAAATGCAGAGGTGAAATTTCCCCGTTGTGAAACTAATAAGGGTCTCTTAATCTAATCAAAGCAAGCATACAGAATATAAATCAAAAGTAGATGCTTTTCATTATATAACTGTATTTAATTACATAATTATGTAAATGCTTTCAATAAATATGGCAAAACAAGAAGTGTAACCTAACCAAACCAAACCTAACCTAACCAAAACATGCTGCTGGAAAATTAGACCTTCTGGAAATGTTACTGTCATAATATGAGATGAATGAGATGAATGAACTGTCAGCAGACACGGGGTGTTTACAGTAACTGTACAGTGTTATGGAACAACAGACATGATTACTTTGTTGCATTAACTTACATTGAAAGTTAAGAGCTTCTCCTTCTCCTGTAAAGTTACTTTTTTGGAGACGTGGGGTTTTATTCCAGCAGCACTAGTGAATAGTAAATAAACATTCAATAAACAATAACAATTGAGAGCCTCGTGGAGTGTTTACCTTGGGCCTGCATGCGTGTGCGGACCAGGGCGAGAGGGTAGCTAGCCAGCTGACCACATGTGCTGGAGATGGTTCCGCAGCCCAGCAGAACCAGCACCCCAGGGTTAGCTGTGTCTTTGGCATAGTAGGACAACCAGGTATTCTTTAGAGTCTGTGTAGACAGAGAGAGTAAGAGAGGTCATTAGATGATGAGAGAGAGAGTGAATGAGTGAGTGAGTGAGAGTTACGCTTCCTCTCTTTAAAAAGGCTGACAAAACAGACATGGTTTTAGTGAGTCTTGGTACCATTTACAGGTTTTGGTTTCCTTTACTCACGTTTTCTCAGGGCCGATGACCTGCTCACTAGGTCTCCCCCTTCACACAAAGCTACCGAGCTGGGAGGGTGAACACTAACTGCCAATTCTGTTACGATGGCTCACAGGCACTTGTGTTGGCTATGGCATTGCACTGAGTGAGGCTGTGGCATTGCCAGGGATTGAACCCTTGATAGGACTGAAACCTAGACAGCTGGAGACCCCAGGTACATTTTCTTTCAAGTCACAAACAGCTGCATTAGTTTAGCATTAGTTGTTTTTAGCTACATATCTATATCTATATATATATATATATATCATGTGTATGGGTCATTGACATGAAGTGCATTTTTTGTGACCGAGTCCATTATTTTCCCAAAAAAAAGTATTTATTTATTTATTTAATTTAATAAATTACATGACATTCAAGAGTACCTCTTTTATGTGAAACAACTTTCGGTGCATATATATATATATATATATATATATATATATAATTCATTTTAGTTTCTTTTTGTCTCCAAAAGTCTTCAGGTGGTGTAACCGTCCAACCACACATGCTGATTAAGTAAACCATCAAAAAAAGTAATTTATTTATATAAACTTTTAAATAAAATTACAATTTGATGCAAGCAAGGCAGGTTGACGCCCTGTAAGTCCCATTAGTGCTGTAGTATCATGAAGAACTGAGTTCAACTTTGAGCCTTTAATCAGCTAAAATTTCTGCCATATTTTTCCTTCCCAGAAATGCAGATGTTGTCTATTCAAACTCTCTTCAATAACATGTCCAGCCTTATCATTAGACAAGTGTATCATCATGAGAAGAGTATATATCACTGTTGTCGGAGGAAAACCTCTGCTTTACTTTTAATGAACCAGACTTTTTTCCAAGTCATTTTGGGTCATTTCTTTTGGTCCATTCATCATGAAATTTACATACAATGTAAAGAGAAACAGATATTTTCAAACTATGTCAAAAACTGAAAAAACGACAAAAATGGAGATACAAGGTTTTCTTCCGACAGCAGCGATATGCTTGCTGATCATATTTAGAAACGGTTTTGGCTCACCTCGTAGACCGCCAGGTCGATTCCTGCATACGGAATGATGCCCAGGATGTTGGGGATGTAGCCTTTATAAAATGCCTTCACTCCTTCTTTCTTCAGGATCTTTTTGGCACAGTCAAACATTCCGGAATACTGTCCGGTCTTCCTCAGCGTGAGTCTGGTCTTCATCACCTAACAGTAAAGAAAGTAGCAATACAAGTTTACAGAATACAAACCCACACATTCCTACTGTGTGTTGAGTTCATTTTCACTTTACTGTCAAAAGAAAACATTATAGTCCCTTTTCTAACAACTTGAGAGCATTTCCTGTTCTTTACAATGTGAACATTTTATGACCCATTACTTTGAATTTAATCTTGCAATATTATTATTAGAGGTATAATATTTTACAGTCATTTGTCTGTGAATTAGTATTAAGACTGATTATCGCTGAAGAAAACCTTCTATCTCCATTTTTGACGTTTTTCAGTTTTTGACATAATTTGAAAATATGTGTTCCCCTCACATTGTATGTAAATTTCATGATGAATGGACTAAAAGAAATGACCTAAAATGACTTGGAAAAAAGTCTGGTTCCACTGATTTACATTAAAAGTAAAGTAGGTTTTTTCCGTCTCCTGTAAAGTCGCCATTTTGGAGATATGAGGTTTTCTTCTGACAACAGCGATATACTGATTTATAGGTACAGCAAGATTAACCACGCAAGAGCCCTTTCAGATCCATTCAGACTACAATGCTTGATGCACTGAATATACTTTAACCCTCTACTGCACACATTCTGAGAGCAATTTAAAAAATATATTCAATTTACTTTTTTGCATGAAAAGGGTCTTTGATTTATTTTTTCAGACCTGTTTATTAAATTTAAATTAAACTTTTGGAGTATGTTACCTTGAGGTAACATTGTGCGACAATGGAAGTGGTGAGACCTGGCTTGTGACTGGCTAAATCCATTCTACTGTCACACAATGTTGCCTCTAGGCAACAAACATATTTGATACTGGATATTACAAAAAGAGGTTTAAATGTGCACACTTAGAGACAGTATGACCAGGTACATGCTTTCTATTGACTTACTCAAACTCTTCTCTATATAGTTAACCCTATGATTGTCTTTAAATATGTACAATTTTATTGTAAAGTGAGGAAAATTAGTTTGTTGCCCTGAAGCAACATCATGCAATAGAGGGTTAAGTTATGAAAAAAAGTCCCAAGCAAATCAAGAACACCACTCAGGATGTAGGAGTAAAGAGAAGAATGCCTGAGCTTAAGTTTACCATAAGATGTGAAACAGGTAAGCCTCAAGCAGAGGAAGGTCAAGTTAAGTTTGCTAGGTAGACAGTTGCTCGTCTCTGCTCTCACCTCCATGGGGTAGATTGCAGTCTGCGCTGTGGCTCCGGCCAGAGAGCCTGCCATGAACCTCTCGTGTGTCTTAACCTTCCCTCCCTCTGTGGACAGCAGCTTTTTATACTGAGGAAACAGAGCAGAGGAATACGCATCACAAACTGGTTTATACTATAAAATTTAAAAGCTGGGTGAACTAAAAGTGTGCCTTCAATTTATCACCCCAGTGGCACTGTTAACCCAGTGAAGAGAAATATTACAGCTGATTCAGTTTCACTGAGCTCATTCGAAATTTTTGGAGGACACAAACATTTTAGTGTCAGTAATGCTTTCTTGGCAGGGAGACTGGTGGTGCCGTGACACTGAAGTGGCTAAAAAATAAGTTTCACTTTTGGGACTGTGAGAAAACAGTAACTTTTCAGGAGAGACGGGCCAAATTTTAAAGGCTCTATAAAAAACTGTTCTGGCCACGTCTATTACAGTCTACTGGACAGTGACACATAGTTTTGTTGTTTATGCTCTGAACTCTAACATGCTATGTTTGAAACAATGACTATGAGTTTAAAGGTGCAGACATTTTAGCTTTAATTAAATCGATGTGCACATTTTATGTACATTTGTTAGGTCTGAAATATAACCGGGGGGTTGGGGGGCACCCGTGGTGGGTGGGGGAGGTTAGATGTTTCTCAAATATATATGGATCTAAACTAATCTCAGTTTTCTTTTAACCTAACTGGGTTTTCAAATAAGGCATGTATAGCTTGGAATAAAAAAGGAATGTGCTAATACACCACTAATAATAATAATAATAATAATAATAATAATAATAATAATAATAATAATAATAATAATAATAATAATAATAATAATAATAATAGTAGTAGTTATTATTAAGAGGGCAGCACGGTGGCGCAGTGGGTAGTGCTGTTGCCTCACAGCGAGAATGGCCTGGGTTCGATTCCCGGCCGGGCGACGAGGGTCGTTTCTGTGTGGAGTTTGCATGTTCTCCCCGTGTCTGCGTGGGTTTCCTCCGGGTGCTCCGGTTTCCTCCCACAGTCCAAAAACATGCAGTCAGGCTGATTGGACATGCTAAATTGCCCCTAGGTGTGAGTGTGTGTGTGATTGTGTATGTCTGTCTGTCTGCCCCGCGATGGACTGGCGACCTGTCCAGGGTGTATCCTGCCTTCTGCCCAATGACAGCTGGGACAGGCTCCAGCGACCCAGAAGGATAAGCGGTATGTCTGTCTGTCTGTCTGTCTGTCTGTATGTATGTATTATTATTATTACTAAAGAAATGTTGAAAAAGCAAGCTGGTTATATTATGTGTCAACAGGACGTAGGAGGAAGTATTTTGAAATGTATAGAAGCATCTTAACTGCTCAAATCCAACCAAATGCCTCAGCCAGTGGCACTTCAGCAGGACAATCACTCGACACTACAGCCAAAGCACCTATTAAAGTTTTCAGGCCAAAAAGGTGGAATAATCTTGACTGGCCAAGTTAAGAACCAAACCTGAACCGTATTCAGCAGGTGTTTCACTTTCTGACAAGACAAACGAAAGGCACTAAAACCACAGGGGAACTGAAATGGTGTGTTACCTTGAAACACCCATCTTACCATTTAAGCTGTAACATCAAACATTAGCAAAAAGAGCATTAGTGTATTATGTAATGTAATATGTATGGCCCTGTCTACTAATGTAGCGGAACAAAAACAATGCTTAAATCTAATGCAGGCCATTACTGTGTAAGATTAACATCAAATGCATTCCAGTATTTAAATTTCCTTTTTTTCCATCCCTTTGTGATTTAAAGTACAGCTGATTCAGAAACAGCTCTCAGAAACACAACTAAGCTTCTTAATTTATACAGTTGTGGTGGAGCCTGGATGCTGGCATAAAGCCAAGTATATGACTTTAAAGCAATTAAAACGAAAAACTCTGAGAAGAGCAGCCACTGAATGGGTGTGTTCAGATAATGCATTCTTTTTCCAGGCAATGTAGCATGTAGTTGAAATGCATTCGTAGGCATATTAAAGGGGAACTTTAATTAAAGGGGAAAAATTAATTAATCATTTAATGGTTTAGATGTACAGAAAATCATTCAAAGTAGTTCGGTGTAAAATGGGCCTTTCCAGAAAAATTCACAGAGTCAAAATTGTTCACCATTGTAGTACTAGGAACCAGACGTCCATGTGTCTATATTACAAATATCACCATTTTATCTGCCATCCAAGATGACCAGTGAACTTACGTGTGTTGTGTTAGTTTTATATATATGACGTATGTATATCATGCTGATAATAGTAAAATACTGCAAAATTGAAAAAATGTTTTCTTTGGGTGCTATTTTTTCCTTACAAAGCCCTGCATGTACCTCTCCACACGGAAAGCCTTGCGTCGGTGCCGGCAGGTTCTCTCTCTCTCTTTCTCTCTCTCCCTCTCCCTCCCTCCCTCTTGGCTTTGTCTCTCTTCTTTAAACCGCTGCAACAACTTTGTGTTTTCTGGCTCAAACTGATATGGACATACGACATTTTGGAAACAGACCTCCTCAAAGTCCTCTGCGTACTCTTCCATCTTCCAAAATAGGTAAGAAAACCATAAAAATTAACTGTAAAAAGCTGTCGCTGGCGTTAGCTGTGTTGAATGGCTGCAGCTACAGGCTAATCACAACAAAAGCATGTTAGGTTGTGCGCATTGATCTCAGTTGAGATGTGGTTTTGAGAGGAAACACAGAACTAAACCTGGAGTAAAACTTTATACTGAAAATACGTTTCAGGCCAAAACTTCATAACAAAACTATCACAAAACAATGTCTCATGTATCAAGCCACGTATTCATAACCATTTTGTGCAATAGCTTAACAGGATGTAGCTTTTAGAGCCATTAAAAGCCAGACGTCTGGTTCTTAGAGCTATGATGGTGAACAATTCTGACTCGGTAAATTTCTCTGGAAAAGCGCGTTTCACACCAAACCACTCTGAATGATTCTGTTCACATCTAAACCATTGAATGATGAAGTAATTTTACAAAATCGGTGGAGTTCCCCTTTAAAAAAACACTTACCTGCTCATAGGCCATGAATTTGATGGCTGTTTCTGGAGCAATTTTCAGCACGTTGACTCCATTTCCTCTCCACAAAGACGTGACACCTCCCTCTTTGATCATCTGCTTAAACCCGCTGACCAGACTGATTTTGTTGGACTTTGAAGCGTGAACCTGTAACCCAAAAAGCCATTTTCACCCATTGCTGTATGTTATACATGTAATCAGTGATACTTTGTGAATGAAGTTCACAGATTTGTGCCTCTGCAAACAAAAGCAGAGGTTTTCAGTACAAACAGGATGCGACACCAGAAAGACGTACCTGCATGAAGACTTTCATTCTGTCCAGCGGAGCAGTGCCTGTTCGAGAGACCGCCCCTGCCATCGCCCCAGCAGCCAGCTGCTTCCACCACAGGCCAGTGGTCTTCTCCTCTTCAGTGAACTCATCTGGGATGGTGAGGCTGTCCCCTATATCCAGCACCTAGGCCATAATACCACAACACACAGATCATTTAACTCCCACCTGCTCGGACAGAAATGTCAGCGTTTACTTCTTATCACAAAACAGCCTGTTAAGCATCTCCTAAACTGTAAATAATGTAAATAGTTGTCACAAATGATGCATTTGCATGTGTTTTATCAAATACTGGATTTAACAGAGTAGAAGCAACCAATTAAAACTACAGTTATAGGCTGATTAGTGTTACTACGCTCACTTAAAAAGTTCAAACGTGCAACGAGAATTGTAAGCATCACTGATTTTTCACTTTCTTTATATTTTTCTTATTCCTCTTAACAGAACAGAGAGGCTTTGTTGTAATATATTTTACAGGCTTTGATCTAAATGAATGGTTTAATTCCTCCAACAAACCATGCTCTTTTATACAGGCACACAGACTTTAGGGCTGCAAACATCAAATATATTCAGTTTCATATATTCGACTCAACATTCACCTCTAATTGAATATTCTATAAGAATAAGAAAAGGCTTGAGATGCGTTTCACTTTAATAACTGAATAGGACAAAAACCTGCTCCTTTTTCTTCTTATTATTATCATTATCATTATTATTATTATTATTACTAATGATTATGGTTAGTTTCCTTTTTTGTACTGTTGAAACAATTGTATTCATTTATTTTGTTTTTATTTATGTTTTTCAACAAAACTTAATTAATTGACAAACAATTGTTTTCTAAAGCGGGGGATCCTGCCCAATCAGGCAACCCTGAGCAGGCTGCTAACGCATCTCAGTGATGGACGGTGCAGGAGAGGAGGGGGAACTTCTTAACCATCGTTTTTACTCACTGAAAACAGCTTGTTCGTCATATCTCGTCAGTGAACAGTGGAGTGATAAAGGTGTTAAAGCCGCTCAGAAACCGTTTTTTGCCAGAACACGCGCTAAACTCAATTGACACGGTACTGGCGCCCCGTGCAGTCTGAATACGCTTACTCTCCGAGCTCACGCGCTCTTATTTATCCTCGGTAATAAACACAACCCGAGAGCACGCGGGCTGCACTGATAATAAAAGTAAAACAGTAGACTACGAGAATAAAGTCGTACTATTTCGAGAAAAAAGTCGTAGAATTCCGACATTAAAGTGGCATTAATACAGGAAAGGTTACAATATTGTGGCCAAAGGCTTTGCAGAGGGAAAGCAGCCCCTCCTCGTGTTAAATGAGGGGCGGTAATTTGGTGGAGTTTTACTTTCATATCGATTCACCCATAAAGAAACACTCAGTCTCCCTGTCTCTCCTGCTCATCAGCACCAGCCTGTTATTAGGATAAGAACCGGCTGAAACGGCTGAGCAGGAAACTGTTTATCTAGAATAAAGAGCCAGACGGACTCGGAGGAAACTGTCTGTCTGTGTTGTTGAAGGAGAATCGCAGGCAGGGTCGTCTACACGGCTATCGGGGGCTACATCTCCCCCCATTCAAAGAGGTCATGAGGTTTCACAGACAGTGAGAATGATGATCAAAATGATCCACAGAGAGACAGGAGTGAGTGGAGCTCCGGCGCCAGTACAGCAACCGAGACCCCAACACACTATGGCAGCCCCCCTACAGTACATCAGCCCACCTTCTCCTCCAAATATTACGACTTTATTCTGGAATAGTATGACTTTTTTCTCGAAATATTATGACTTTATTCTCGAAATATTACGACTTTTTTCTCGAAACATTCAGATTTTATTCTCAAAATATTACAACTTTTTTCTGGAATATTATGGCTTTTTTTCTCGAAATATTATGACTTTATTCTCTAAATATCATGACTTTATTCTCGAAATATTATGGCTTTTTTTCTCAAAATATTATGGCTTTTTTCTCAAAATATTATGACTTTATTCTCTAAATATTATGGCTTTATTCTCTAAATATTATGGCTTTATTCTCTAAATATTATGGCTTTTTTCTCAAAATATTATGACTTTATTCTCGAAATATTATGACTTTATTCTCGAAATATTATGGCTTTTTTCTCAAAATATTACGACTTTATTCTCTAAATATTATGACTTTATTCTCTAAATATCATGACTTTATTCTCTAAATATCATGACTTTATTCTCTAAATATCATGACTTTATTCTCGAAATATTACAACTTTTCTCTGGAATAGTACGACTTTCTGTCTTGAAATATTACGACATTTTTCTCAAAATATTACGCCTTTATTCTGGAAGTCTACTGTTTTTATTTTTATTAATCAGGCACGGCTGTGAGAATTAATTCATAACATCTTTTCAGAGTCCACTGTTCAGAGCTGCTAATATCATGCTACCATTGAACAGCCTAATATTTAGCTCAATAAACAAACGGAAGTGCATGAAGCAGTAGAAGTAACTTATCCGTTATTCAAATGAGTTTGCATTTTTTGAATATTTTAATGACTGAATATTCTACAGCCCTAACATACTGTCGTTGACCAGGTCTGAGCTGGTGTCCAGCAGAGTTTAGTGAGTTTCCAATGTAAATACCCAGATTCAGCTCCACTGTAAAAAAATAAGACGTCTGATCAACTTAAAATGATATAGTAACTGATTACATGGCTTGAGTTGACTCAACTTGAGGAAACCAGAGTTCACCCAACTCAAACTTGTTTTAGCTCTGCATCTCAGTTAGATAAACAAAACTGAATTTGTGTTTTTTACTCATTTTCTCCACTAGCCGGCGCTCCTTCTATCACACAGTCCCAACTGGCATTCCTCTTAGGCTTCAGATATGGACTATCTGTGGTATTGCTGGGATTCAAACTCACAACCTCCTGATGTTGGGCTGAATTATTAGACAGTTGCACCAATGTGATGATGCCATGCTTTAAAGCTAAAACAAGAAATATTTTCTCCAGTGTATTAAACATTTGTAGACACAAAATCTGAGTTGATTCATGCATTCCTGAGTGTTTCAGTGGACTAGGTCATCACCCCAGGAGGAGGTTGTGAGTTTGAGCCCCAGCGTTGCCATAGCCATCCCTAAGTGCGTACCTAAGAGGAAACATGTCTAGCAGGATTGTGTGATGGAAAGAGTCCTGGCTGGTGGGGAAGTTGAGCATAAAAACAAGTTCGTTTTATTTACCTAACTGAGATGCAGAACTAAAAAAATTAAGAGAACTTTTGACTCGACTAAGAAGTTTGAGTTGTGTGAACTCTGGTGTCCTCAGGTTGAGTCACCTCAAGAACAGCCACGTAATCAGTTACTATATAATTTTGAGTTGAGCTGACCTCTGCATTAGTTCAATACCAGGTTTGGCAGGCGTGCATTAGAGCAGGAAATCAATAAAACTGTGCTGCACTGTGATCCACCAGGATCGCCCAAACCCTGGTCTAGGCCTTCACATCAAGACACATGTACATCTGTGAAAGAGTTTATTTGGGCCTAGTGTTACTTGAGGCAGTTGGCAATGAGTGCGAGAGAGCAATGACGTAGAGGAGGATGAGGTAAGTGGTCATCAGCCGTAATCAATCACCCGTGACACCTTGACCTTGCACACACCAGCCAGACAGCCGGTCAGCCCATAGACCGCACTGAGCCAGGGGTCCAGCATCACGGTCACAAGCTACAGCTACCTTCACACCTTTCTACAGTACCAGGTTATCTTACTAATAACCACAATACCTCACAGTGACTCTTACCAGTCCTTAACTAATACTTCACTGGTAGCTTGATCCTAATCCCTGGGCTTTTATGTAATCAGTGGTCTTATGTAACACTGCTGAGCTTAACAGAGTACTTGCGCCATCAATGAAGACTTTTCTCACGAGCTACCAAACCAGTTCCTTACTGCTGGTTGTTTGTATAGCATTTCATTTGTTCATAACAGGTGAGGCCGCACAACATATTGTCTATTGTTATTACAAACCTGCTTTGGAAGTACTGATACAACAGAAGGCTGCAATATGCAAATGAGCCTTGAGAAATCTTTACTTGTGTCATGTGAGCATCCTAACCAGTCACACATGTTTTGGCTGGTGCTCGGTTGAATCAAGGCGTCCATATAATCCAATAAACTCAAATACTTTTGAAAAGCAATACAGGCCAACCACGTCACCTATGCATTTTTAGTATATTGCAAGGCATATTGATAATATGTAGGGATCTAATCGCAATGTGGTATTTTGTCATATTGTGCAGTCCTAAAAACAGCCTGTTCACTTCCACTCTGGAAGTTTGGTCCACTGTTAAAACTGGGCTTGTGCAGAAGTTTACTGATCACTGGCGACTGTTACAACAGAGTAATTAGTGGTAATGTGAGATTTCTAACAACGTCATCAGACGAGATTCACCAAAAGGAGAAAATGTAACATCTCATCACTTGCTGTGAATGATCTCACTGGTCTAGCCAGGCATTTAAACTGCTAATGATTTCTCTTAGAGGGGGGATTTTTCAGATTTTCTGCATAATTGAATCGCTATGATGTAAAAAAGTTTGATATGAAATTCCCTGTTCTAGAGAAACCTCCCAAGTCAGAACTGTTCACAAGCAGTGGTGATGGGAACCAGACATCTGAATTGTTTGATGTCTCTAAAAGGGTCCTTACATAAAGTTATTACATGAACTTTGTATAAAAGCCTTGCCTGATACTTGAGACGTTGTTCTGTGATAATGTACCATTGGCTACAATCACCACCACTTAATTAGTTTCACATTAAACCAATCTGAATAACTTTACATCTCAGTGATTGAATTATGCAGACATTTTGAAAAATCAGTGAAATTGTCCTTTCATAATATTCCTACGTTGTAGCCAACAATAAGTACCACAAATATACAGAACGTTTTAACTCAAGAGGAAACAGAACCTACCACATCCACCTCCACCTCATATATGGCCCCGTCCTCCTCGAAGTCGATGAGGAACCATTCCCCTTTGGGCTGCTGCTGCTGCAGCAGAGCCATTCTAACCCAGTACTGCCAGCTTGTGTGGTACTGGTATCATCCGATAGCTGTGGTGAAGACCTACTGTAGCACTCTTCCTCACTGTGTGATGAAGCGCCCCAACCCTGCCTGATCCTGTCCGTTCCCTCCACTTCCCGAACTAATCCCCAGAACAGGACAGGCTTAAATTAGCTTACTTCTGCTTAACCATGCAGGTCCTGTTAACCTCATGCTGAGCAAAGCTTTAAATGTCAAAAGGTCATCCAGTGACTCCTAATGTAGACTGGAACTGATGGGAAAAGCCCTCAAGGGAGATTTCTTAAAAATAACTTTTAATCAGTCGAATTATCCGAATAACTGAGGACTGTGAGGTCATGAAATATTCCTCAAGCTACTTCTTGAATTGGTAATTGAAAGCTTGAACTATATCGCTGCTGTTGTGAGTAAAGCTCTCTAAAATGTTCTAATGAAGGGGAATTTTTCAAAATTCCATAATTTTGGATTTAATGCATAATTCAGAGGTTAAGATGTAAACAAAGTCATCTAAAGTGGTTTGATGTGAAACAGTTAATTGTAGAGGACTTACTATTTCTTTACAGTAATAGGAACCATGGGTCATAATATATATAACACAAATACACCGATCAGGCATAATATTCCACCTCCTTGTTTCTACACTCATTGTACATTTTATCAGCTCCACCTGTTTCTCTGCATACTTTGTTAGCCCCCTTTTACCCTGTTCTTCAGTGGTCAGGACCCCCACGGACCCTCACAGAGCAGGTACTTTTTGGGTGGTGGATCATTCTCAGCGCTGCAGTAACACTGACGTGGTGGTGGTGTGTTAGTGTGTGCTGTGCTGGTCTGAGTGGATCAGACACAGCAGTGCTGCTGGAGTTTTTAAACACCTCAGTGTCACTGCTGGACTGAGAATAGTCCACCAACCAAAAATATCCAGTCAACAGCGTCCTGTGGGCAGCGTCGTGTGACCACTGATGAAGGACTAGAGGATGACCAACACAAACTGTGCAGCAGCAGATGAGCTATCGTCTCTGACTTTACATCTACAAGGTGGACTGACAAGGTACGAGTGTCTGATAGAGTGGACAGTGAGTGGACACAGTATTTAAAAACTCCAGCAGCACTGCTGTGTCTGATCCACTCATACCAGCACAACACACAAGGTCATAATGTTATGCCTGATCGGTGTATAGCCACTTTACTATCCATAACCACTTATGAGGCTTCTGAGTTTTATATGTAATGATGCTGATTATTAAATAGTGAGCATTAAACTAGCATTAGAGTATTAGAGGCATTGAACTCTTCAGATGTCTGTTTCCAGTCACCACCTCTGTTTTGAGTTGGTGAGCTTCTCTAGAACAGAGCATTTCACATCAAACCACTCTCAGTGATGTTGTTTAAAACTTAACCTTAAATTAATTTTGCAGAAACATTTTTAAAAATGTGGAGTTCCCCTTAAACTTTACACCTGGTATTGTAATTCAAAAAAAAAAATAATGGATCAGTTTTCAAAATTTCTAAAGGCAGCTGATGTTGTGAAATTGTAAAAAAAAATCCTTCATTAAAATTATGCCTCATCTCTCCAACTCGCTCTCTCTGACTCCCTTTCCCAGTATTTTCAAACAGCGAGGGATATTAATGGCAAGCCAAGCTTCTTAGGAGGCCTCCTGCCTGTGTGCCTGTCAGAGAAGAGTGTGTGTGACCGGGTGCTCACAGTGTGTCCAGCTTGCAGCACTTCATTCACGTCCCCTTTCATTAACCGCAATCCTCAAAAACTGGTCACTGACTACACAGCAACCCACACAAATTTCAGGTCCAACGGTCACATGGATACCAGCATCTAATTTCCATGCCACATGAGTCATATCAGCGGCTGAGATCAGTTTAGGAGGCGTGTCATGAAAAGTGAGATTGGAGCTTACAGTGGAGTGTTTCCAGTAGCGTATGATCTCCTCCAGGTCGGTGGCTGGATTAAAGAGGAAGTGCTCTCTCCATTCATTCCAATCCACTGTCATAGTGCCGTCTGCATCAATGCTACAAGACAGAGAGATAGATAGGGAGATGTTCAGCGGGCATCCAAGTCAATAATGCAAGATGGTTTATTTTGTTGTTAATGGCGAAGCTATTTTTATTAAAAAATTATTATTCATTTTTGACTAAAAAGGAATACTATTTAGCAGGATGGAATTTGCGATGGATGGGTGGGTGGATAAATGGGTGGGTGGATGGATGGATGGATGGGTGGATGGATGGATGGGTGGTGGATGGATGAATGGATGGTTGTGTGGGTTGGTGGACGGATGGGTTGGTGGGTGGATGGATGGATGGACGGATTGGTGGATGGGTTGGTGGGTGGATGGATGGATGGATGGATGGGTGGGTGGCTGGATGGATGGACAGGTAGAACTTTATTGATCCCGAAGGGAAATTGCCGTGTTTCAGGAGCAAGACATATAATTCCACATAACTTACCTATACTATGCAGAAAATAATAAATAGAAATAAAAACACACATAAGTTAGGCAGAAATATTAATATATTAAATAAAAAATTATAAAAAATAGACCTAAGTTAAAGTATAAGAGAGTAGAAATAAAGTCTCTCTTAATTAAAGCATCTCTCTTAATTACAAATACTAGACTTTATTTATCATTACATGGACAGCATTTCAGAATGAACTATTTTAATAAAAGACTCTCTTGAGATCCCACAGGGCAACAAGTACTTAAGAGTTGTTATGATATATTAAATTGTAATTAGATTTATTACTGTATCTGTATCGGCACTTAAATACAGTATCAGTATTGGCAGTAGAGAACACTGATACCACAAAGCAACTGAGTGATGCCTGTATGCGTTCTAGTTGCTGGAGCTTAACTGAAGTAAGCACCACTTCAGCAGTGTGGAAATCTAGCATGCTTGAGAGATGAGTGGTAATAACGCCCATTGCAAAGTGTGTAGTACCAGTATTTTGAGGATAAGCACAACCAGAAAGCATTTCAATACATCAAACTTAATTAAGCGATACAAGATAAACCATGGCAAAAAGCACAGTGACTTTTTGTAGCTGGTTCATTCCTTGAAAAGACTCCACAACATCTGATACCTTGTATTAGAAACATCTACTAATAAGTGTTTTCAAGGTTAAAGCAGCACCATGTAAGAGTTTAGAACATTTTCTAAAGGATTTTGCTAAATTCAAAAGAAGGCGCATTAATGAGTGTGTTTACATGCGCTCAATATTCTGATCATAATCGGATTTCTGCAGTTATCTGATTATTCAAATGGTCATGTAAACAGCACACTCTGATTTCTTAGATCAGAGTAAGGTCTAGATATCTGATTAAGAAATCGCTCTTGCTCTCGTTCTCGCTCCCTCGCTCTCTCTCCTTTTATTTGAGCCCCTGAGTGACGTTTGCCTGAGTCGCCACATGGGAGCCATCAGAGCTGCTAGAGTCACCAAAGCTCCATCTCTGCTGGCTGATCTGCACCATTTCAACCACCATGGAGTTTCATGCTGTACAAAGCTGTGCAAACCTCACCTGCATGAACTGACCCTCCTGCTGCTGCTGCATAAACTCAAACTGTCTAATTAACCACTACTCCAGCTGTTTTTCCCCGTTTTTGTATTCTAATATTTTACACTAATACTGTTTGCTATCTGGTGTCGACCAGAAGAGGATGGGTTCCCTGTTTGAGTCTTGGTTCCTCTCAAGGTTTCTTCCTCTTGCTCTTAGGGAGTTTTTTGCCACTGTCGCCACTGGCGACGCTCATTGGGGCATCAAAGTGCGCATAAACACATTGATCGGATTACTGACAAAATCTGATTTTATGCAATTATTCGGATTATTAAGTGCATGTAAATGCACTCACTTTGTTGGGAGGAAAAAAAACATGCTAAAATATGGTGTGTGTGCTGCTGCCAGTCACCCCATAAAGACTGAAATAGTAAAAGTAATTTAAAAGTCAGAGGTGGAGGTGGTCAGATGTTGTGGAGGTTTTTTCAGACCACGTCTTTATAAGTTAACGTCACACATACAGTCTCAAAAAGAAGGTCCGACTCAATGTTCAAAATCAGCCGTTGAAGATACGATGATAACAGTAGATAATTCACTCACATTCTCAGAAGATACGTCCTTCACACAGTTTTGACTAAGTTCCTTTTGAATACACTGTCAATGCGCTCACAATCACTAGATTCATCCGCTTGGGCAAAGGGTCCGAAGCACAACCGACATTATAAAATGTTCTTCCACATGTTGCGTGCAATTACACACTTCCATCAGAGAGGTCTCCAAATCCCCAAATCTTACATAGCGCAGCTTTAAACGTATCACATCAGTTCATCATTAACAGTATGATTTTCTTATTAGAAGTGGGTAACAGATGTTTTTTTAATATACTTTTTTAAGAATACAGGCATTTTTACACACAGTCTCTGAAGATCCATCTTAAATATTGCTAAATAAAAACTGTATTAACATCAAATCTTTGCCTTGCATATCTGCATGGTATATCTGCTTATGTCCTTAGGTTTTGCTTTCCACCCCATCGCACCAAGATATTTAGCTATAAAAATAATGTACTATCACATTATATTACATAATGAAGAAGAAGTGACATCATTTCCGTCTTCAAAGGAGCTGAGATCAATAGCTTGTAGGTTTTGCTTTTATCCAACATTGGTAATTTGTTTTTTTCATGCTTGACAGGGTCTTTACAAGGTCTGTCAAGCATAACATCTAACCTGTCACACATAACAGACACTGAAAATCATTTGTTTTTTTGGAATTTTTACAGAAAAGTCATGTAATTAACTGATGAAAAACTGATGTAAAATGGTCTAAGATAACAGGAAGCATGTCAGCCAGTTTCGTGAGAAATATTCCACCCCGTCACATCTCCCTCTGTCACAAGTGTGATGAAGCTTTGTATTTTTGTACGAAGATTTAATAATGTTTACTGAGGTGGGAAAATCTGTTTTGGTTAAGAACAATATGTAACTGAAACTATGGAGGACAAAAAAATGTGACGACATGAAAAAAAAACCTAATTACCATGTCCATTTGGCTGGCATGGATCTTGTGGAGTGACAGTGAAACCATTCAAATGTCTTCAACAGTTACTAACCAGCAAATACCACTCATTTAGACTTAGTATGTTTTAATTGTGACACAGAAAACTGTTTTTAGCAAAATACAATATTTAAACAGTGAAATGGTCCAAACTTCAGGATTTATAGGCATCTTTTGAGTAGTTAGGTTAGATCTGAAGATCAGGTATCGGTGTCAGAAGGGAAAAAGGGGTACTGGTGCATCCCTAAAATTCATGTGTTCTATTTATGTATACATGCTGCTTTAATTGTTATGTTATATATTTGTAACAGGATAATCTGATGTTTTTTGTCACATTGTTATAGTTTGGTATGTGACTCTGTATGCATAACCCTTTGTATGATCTTAGTTTGGGCTTTTAAAAGATGATGCTATAAATAAGTCGCAGCTGTGAGGCCTGTAGAATTGTGGTGCAACGAGAACAGATAGTATGTGGGTCATACTACAGAAACGTCCATGTTCATGTCCCTAGCGTTCACAGATATATTACAGTTAGGTTTAAATTTTTTAACATTTTCAAATAAAACAATAAGTCATTTTAACAATTACACCTACTTCAGCCATCAATTTAGCAATATTGGTTTTTAAATCAATTATCTAGAATTCCAGTTGTTCCCACAGTCATGTGTGAAGGTTGAGGCCATATTTTGAAGAAAAAAACACTTTTCTGCAATTTTAACTACGATAATTATTACTATGAAATATAAAAATGAAATGATATCAAGAAAACAAATGCCAAATAAATAAAATATATAATGAAAGTTGTTGTCCCCAGGAGTCGTGTCACTGGTGTTACTGTGTAACAAAAAATCTCTTATTTTGAAATAAAAATCGCACTGATGACATCACTGGACTTCCTTTTACCTATTTTCTGAGGATCTATGAAGAAAAGCTCATGGTGAGTCCACTGTGTCTTTTCAGTTATCAGAGATTTTCTCATTTAGCTCATGATTTCATATGAAGCTTTTAGCTGAAGTCACTGGTGTGACCGACTTTATTCTTAGGCAACTGTGAAAAAATAGAATACAAATGGATTAAATTACAGATTTTAGTGGATGTTCCACGATTGACAACATGTGGTTTGATTCTCTGTAGCAGCCATTTTGTAAAAAGCATGTTTCATTAAAAATGTCTCTGGTGTGACCTTTCTTATGTGTAACACCAGTGAGGATCAGTAACACCACTGACCCCTATGGAGAGAGAGAAAACGTTTCTGTAAAATGACCCACGTTCATGTGAAAGATATTTTTACTAATCATGCGTCTGCACCTTTTTTTATTAAGCCAGCTTCGGCCAATTGACCATAAAGATAAGAGAGTCAACTGTGATCGATTTTGTCATCTGGAATAAATCTTTTGAAACGCTACCCCAAGAATTCACCCTTCCTACATTGGCTTTTCTCTGGTAGAGACAAATTCCAAACCCAACTCAACACATGCAAAAGCACAGCCTTACTTTCGATTCCCGATGCAAATCTCTACCTAGTTTACAGCCAAGTCCCAGATAATTCACGTTCTATCTCTACGACAGCACTTCCGCTCAGGGCAATGAGAGAGCAAGGGTAAATTGGATTACAGACTCAACCACAAAGATGCCCTTCACGGACAGCTCTGTTACTCTGTCTCTGTCCTCCCTCTACTTCACTCTTTTTCTCTAAACAGTTCCTCACTCATCTTCACATGGTGTGTTTACACATTAATAGAGCGCTATTTGTCTCTCTGGATTTAGCTTACGGCTTATCACTTACTCTGCTGACTCGCAGCCTGGCGACGCTTTATCAGTGTAGAAACAGTTACTGCTGACTATGACCTGAGAGTCCACCACACCCACGAGCATCGCACTACAGTGTCAGCGAAAGCCCTCAAAGCAAATACAATTACAAATTTACATAGCTTAACAACTTCGCACTGTGAGATGGAACAGTATGGAAATTTCCAGTGACCAAAATGATGTTTTTCAATATTTCAGTTTTGTACAATACACTGAAAATGTTTAAAAATCAATTATTATAATGAACTCTTTGCACCACAAGTATTCAACTCTTAGACTTTTCACTGAACATCTCATATCTCTTCAAAACACTAAAAATGTATATAAATATGTATATGCCCTACTACTGTTTAGCATGATTAACACCTCTAATACCACTAACAGTTCAGTTTCTTTGACCATATGAAGACCACAGATCACAGCCAATGGCAGTTACTCTGTGGAGATGAGTTGCGCGTGCTGTGCGGCTACCTCTTGAGGATCTTTTCTGCGTTTTCCTTCGAGACGTTCATGCCCAGGTCTTTGAGTGCTTGTTGAATCTCTGTGTAATCAATGCGTCCTATGGAGGAAAATAACAGTGAAATTCACCATACAGAAATGACTCATGTGCTGTAGCTTCCAATGAGCAGTTTTATTCTTAAAGTGCATTCCAGCCTAAAACTATCACTCAATAAGTTATATCTGTAGCACAACATTGTAATCCTCGGCCTGATTGGTTTGACGGAATTCACCATGGCTGCGTTTACATAGACGTCCGTCCCACCGCCGTCTTTTAAAGATCAGAGCATAAACTTCGTCTCCTCTGCAGACCAGTTTCTGCTCCGCCATGATGAACGTTATAAACTTTCACTATGACACGACGCACATGATCAGAACGTACTTCAACTTTCCGATTGGGAATGTAATCTGATACAGGCGTTTACACTGATATTATTCTTCTATTTAATGAATTATTTACAGGATTACCCACCTCGTTCAATCGGATAGAGATTGTATTCCGAATGGCCTCAATCAGACTAGCCTATTCCGACTGAGCTATTAGTCGGATTATTAACGGATTATTAGGCTGCATGTAAACGTGGCCAATGTTGTAAAATGTTTGTGTTTTCATTCCTTAATGTTCTCTTACTGCATATATGATGTTAATATGTCATTCCAGTTAGACTGCTAGCCTAGTTACTAATGTAGTGTAGCTATTTGGCTTCCCTCTGAAATAGCCAGCTAAAGACATTTTAACAGGCCACTCTCAAGTTTTCCACCTCAAAATAGATTTTCAAAAGTTCCTCCTACCTTCGAGATACATCATCAGAAAGGGTTTTTTCCTAGTCTTTAATTCAGAAAATACTCTAGAGACTCCTGTGGCTCCACTATAGGAGGTGAGTGACCATGTTTATAACTGATGTAGTAATGAGTATTTTTTTATTTTATTTTGGCCAGTGTGCCCCTTTAACAGAATGTATCTTGATACAGATCAAATATAAAGCACTAGCCTATTAGTAAACAGCAAGGAAACACAGAAACTATGTAATACAGTGTAATAACATGAACTTTTGGATGAAAATTATTTAAACAATCAATTTTTAACTCGAACCTTACCATCATTGTTCTTGTCCAGACTCTTGAAGGTCAGGTTGAGCTTTTTCTCATGTTCCTTCAGGTAGCTGCAAAATTCCATGAAGTCCAGCTGCTCATCCTGATCCGAATCCCCAGAGGAAACTATTTTCTGTTGAATGACGGAAAGTATGCATGTAAGTGCATGTTCATTTAGCCTCTCGGCTCTCATGGCACTAAATTTAGATCTCTCTGATGGGATGCAATAAGTTAATAAGATCCAGATTCCAAATTGTTTGTACTTGGTATGAAGCCTTTACGCTTTTGTTAGACTGCCACCAGCTGTACAAAACAAGTCAGTGTAAAAATGTAGGTCTACTGAAACTCGTCTCAGATGAATGGTGAATGGTCACTGCCCAAAAAAAGGAAATATCTCCATTTTTCTCTATCTACATCATTTAAGCACAGATGCTGCCCTTTGGATTGTGTGACAGTTTCATGATCAATGGACCAACAGAAATGCCCAAAAATTGTTTATAATTAGTTCTCTTGACATTAACTTACATTAAAACTAACGAACGATAGGTAAGTAGGTAGATAGGTAGGTAGATAGATAGATAGATAGATAGATAGATAGATAGATAGATAGATAGATAGATCACTTATTAATCCCTGAGGGAAATTCTTCTATTGCAGCAGTACAAAGCACAGTAAAGAGCAAACAAGAGCAGAATAAACAGGAGCAAAGTATTGCCGTACACTATTTACAGACATATAAAAAGAAAGTACAGATAAATAATAGAATAAAATATACTAAAACAATGAACAATATAAGTAGTGTGCAGTACAAAACTACAAAGTAATTGCATGAATACTATGCAGGACACAATGAGGTGGCGCCTGTCCCTCCAGTGAATGAACTACTGACTATGGACTGTGGCAATAAATGTTAACAGTTGTACAGTTTACCTTTAACAGAGAACGTTTTCCCCCTCTTCTGTAAAGTTGCCATTTTGGAGAGGTTTTTATCAGACAGCGACGATACGTTCAAATACAGCTTATACGTTATTATGTGCGTACACATTTGTAGCCATATATATCAGGAAAAGGCTTGAAGAGATTTCTGCACGATTAATTGGTTAAAATGTAAACTGTCATTCTGAGTGGTTTGATATAAAAAGCTCTGTTTCAGAGAGACTTAATGACAATTGTTCACAGTGGTCTGCGATGGATTGGCGACCTGTCCAGGGTGTATCCTGCCTTCCGCCCAATGACAGCTGGGATAGGCTCCAGCAATCAACCGCGACCCAGAAGGATAAGCGGTTTAGATGATGGGTGGTTGGGTGTTCACAGTAGTGGTGATAGGAACCAGACGTCTAAAGCATTTAATGCTCCTATAAGCTAACTCACAGAAAGTTATTGCATGAAATAGTTACGAATACACTGCCTAATGTCTGAGATGTTGGTTTATGACAGTTTTGAGATAAAGTTTTGGCTTTATTTACTTTTTTTTTTTTTAAATCCATTCATGGTGGAGAGGTACATGCAGGGCGTTGTAAAGCCAAATAGTGCCCAAAGAAAACTTTCAGATTTACCACTATTTTTCAGTTATTAACAGCACATATCGTCGCTGTCCAATGGAAACCATGTATCTCCATTTTTGTTGATTTTTAGTTTTCTACATCATTTCAACACACCAGCTGTCCTTTACATTGTGTAAAAATTTTATGATGAATGGACCAATAGAAATGCTTTAAAATCACTTGGAACATAATTTCTTTCCATTGACTTACATTGAAAGGTAAGAGTGTTTTTGCCTTCTCCTGTAAAGTTAATATTTTGGAGATACTTGTTTTTCATTGGACAGCGACGATAGAGAAACTCAGAGGACTCGTGTAGCTTCACTGGTGGTTTTAGATAGTAAATAAAACGGCTATATTTGTGTTGTAGACATAATGACCTCTGGTTCCTATCACCACCACTATAAATAAATGAGTCGGCAAGTTTCTCTACTATGAACTGTTTCACACCAAACCACTCAATGACTTATTAATAACACTGAATTATGCAGAGATTTTGAGGAACCAGCGTAACTGACCTTTAATAGAGTAATGCTTTGTGGCCTACGTTTATGAATCCACTCCAGTGCCACTCTCACTGTGGAGTATGCAGGGTAGAATGAGGAGTATCTCTAGGTCAGAGACCAGGATGGGTGTGTACAGGAAGAAGGGGTTTGTTTGAGCACCTGAGGAGTGTCTTTCATTCCTGAGACCAAACCTGACACTACTGCCTCACCCTTCAAGATCTACCCCAGGTGTATATATCTAAATAAGGTGTTTATCCTCAGCCAGAAAGCCACTAACTGGTCTACACCGCAGAGGATGTATTTCATAATACAGTGCAGGCTGCATTCCTTATGGCTGCTGGTAGCTATTTTACACTATGACTTCCTGACAAATGGCCCTGCAGTCTCTCTTAAGTCGACACAGCATATTGATTCCTTTCTAGTAACACAGGATTGAGGTACTATCTGTCTTTGCTGACTCAGTAAGTGGGTCAAACATAAAAAAGGGGCTTTTGTTGAAGCCCAAAGAAGCGAACACGAATGTATCCACAGTGCTTAATGGCAGTAAAGAGGGGCTGTACCCTCTTGGGTGGGGACAGGCCTGAGGTGCAGAGGAAAAACTAAAAGAATAAAAGAACAAACAGTGCAAAAACTGCGGTAAATGTCTCTCTGCAGTGCAGTTCCGCAGCTAAACGCAGTGCCTGTGTGGAGGTGTGGGGTTACTGTGGTGTCCTCGCGTGGCGGTTTTACCTGCGCTGCGTCTGCGCCCACAGTGAAGCCCAGAGCGGCCAGGCCTGCGCGCAGCTCCGCCACATCCACCTTCCCGTCTCGGTTCACGTCCAGCTTCTCGAACAGCTCCTCGAAGCTCTTCGAGGCCTCTTCGCTCACACACTGAGCCTCGGAGAAGACGAATTTCCTCAGGACTTGATACATGATTGTTACGAGTTTATATATTTGGCTGACAAAAAAGGCGAAAACGAACGACTGAAACTGAGGAGGAAAAAAAAACACTGAGGTCGCTTTAAGGCTGTTTCGCGTTAAACCTACTGCAGCAGCTGAGTCTTCAGGAACGCGACTGTAAACTCCACTGTAAACACCATTATCCCGTAATCTCGGTAAACCTCTTCTTTATCGCGGAGTTTTGTTGGGTAAAACGAGCTGTGGATGTCGGTGTAGTAAGAGGGAGGGACTAGACGGGCGACTTTTTTTTCCCTGAGGTGCCTCCTCATCTCGGAGGACCCACCCTGCCGGATAAACGCGCTCACTTAGGCCAAAACTTGTGTTCTTCTTCTCTGCCTGGTAGAGTGTAGCTGAGTAACACGGTGGGTCAAAAGCACGTTAGTTTCTATGTTTTAAAGGGGAAAAGCCCCCGACCAAACTGAGACACATAGTGAGCTGAATAAGTGAGTCGAACAGCTGCAGGACGTTTACAGAACAAGCTTCATCTGTGAGCGTGTTCGTGTTGTAGGAGATCACAGTGTGGCCGTGTGGAGACTCTACAGACTTTTTTTCTGGGCTGTAATAGTTCATAGTTCTGCTGTGACTCATCTGCTCCATGGCAGGCAGTAAAAAAGGGGCGGCTCTGTTCAGACTGTGTGTGCCAGTCAAACAGAGTCTCAGGAGCTCTCAGCTGCTCGAAGCATGCGCAATTACTGCAGACAGACAGACAGACAGACAGATAGATAGATAGATAGATAGATAGATAGATAGATAGATAGAGAGGTAAAGAGAGAATGAGACATAGATAAAGACAGAGAGTGGGAGAGAGATAGAGAGAGTGAGAAAGACTGAGAGTACTAGAGATAGCTAAAAAGATATATTGATAGAGTGGGAGAGAAAGATAAAGAGTGAGAGAATGAGAGATAGAGAAAGAGATATATCAATAGAAAGATAGAGAGAGAGGGAGAGAGAAAGATAGAGAGTGAAAGAGAATAAAAGATAGATAAAGAGATGTAGATAGAGTGAAAGAGAATGAGAGATGGATGAAGAGATGTAGATAGAGTGAAAAAGTGGGAGAGAGATGAGAGAGAAACTGAGAAAGATTAATAGAGAAAGAGTGAGAGAGAATGAGAGATAGATAAAGAGATATATAGATAGATAGAGAAAGAAAGATAAAGAGAGAGTGAGAAAAAGATTGATAGAGAGTGAGAGATAAATAAGGAGATGTATAGATAGAGAGTGGGGGAGAGAAAGATAAAGAGTGTGAGAGAATGAGAGACAGATAAAGAGATATATCGATAGAAAGATAGAGAGAGAGAGTGGGAGAGAGACAGATAGAGAGTGAAAGAGAATGAGAGATGGATAAAGAGATGTAGGTAGAGTGAAAGAGAATGAGATGGATAAAGAGATGTAGGTAGAGTGAAAGAGAATGAGAGATAGATAAAGAGATGTAGATAGAGTGAAAGAGAATGAGAGATGGATAAAGAGATGTAGATAGAGTGAAAAAGTGGGAGAGAGATGAGAGAGAGAAACGGAGAAAGATTAATAGAGAAAGAGTGAGAGAGAATGAGAGATAGATAAAGAGATATATAGATAGAAAGATAGAGAAAGAGCGAGAAAGAAAGATAAAGAGAGAGAGTGAGAAAAAGATTGATAGAGAGAGAGTGAGAGATAGATAAAGAGATGTATAGATAGAGAGTGGGGGAGAGAAAGATAGAGTGAGAGAATGAGAGATAGAAAAAGAGATATATCGATAGAAAGATAGAGGGTGGGAAAGAGAAAGATAGAGAGTGAAAGAAAATGAGAGATGGATAAAGAGATGTAGATAGAGTGAAAGAGAATGAGAAATAGATAAAGAGATGTAGATAGAGTGAAAGAGAATGAGAGATGGATAAAGAGATGTAGATAGAGTGAAAAAGTGGGAGAGAGATGAGAGAGAAACTGAGAAAGATTAATAGAGAAAGAGCGAAAGAATAAGAGATAAAGAGATATATAGATAGAAAGATAGAGAAAGAGCAAGAAAGAAAGATAAAGAGAGTGAGATAGAGAGCGGGGGAGAGAAAGCTAGAGTGAGAGAGAATGAGAGAGAGTAGGAGAGAGAAGGAGAGTGAAAGACAATGATAGAGACATATGGATAGAGTGAGAGACTTTGACTTTTAACCCCCTTTTATTGAAGCATTAATTAAAAGATTTTGCATCCTACAGTAAAAAGCTAATAGTTATATTACCAAGAACCAGCCCTCTGAGCGCCCTGTCCAGGAGCTCGAACAGAAGAACCAGCCTTCTGAGCGCCCTGTCCTGGAGCTCGAACAGAGGAACCAGCCCTCTGAGCGCCCTGTCCAGGAGCTTGAACAGAGGAACCAGCCTTCTGAGCGCCCTGTCCAGGAGCTCGAACAGAGGAACCAGCCCTCTGAGCGCTCTGTCCAGGAGCTCAAAGAGAGGAACCAGCTTTCTGAGCGCCCTGTCCAGGAGCTCAAAGAGAGGAACCAGCCTTCTGAGCGCCCTGTCCAGGAGCTCGAAGAGAGGAACCAGCCCTCTGAGCGCCCTGTCCAGGAGCTCGAACAGAAGAACCAGCCCTCTGAGCGCTCTGTCCAGGAGCTCGAACAGAGGAACCAGCCCTCTGAGCGCCCTGTCCAGGAGCTCGAACAGAGGAACCAGCCCTCTGAGCGCCCTGTCCAGGAGTATGAACAGAGGAACCAGCCCTCTGAGCGCCCTGTCCAGGAGCTCGAACAGAGGAACCAGCCTTCTGAGCGCCCTGTCCAGGAGCTCGAAGAGAGGAACCAGCCCTCTGAGCGCCCTGTCCAGGAGCTCAAACAGAAGAACCAGCCCTCTGAGCGCCCTGTCTAGGAGCTCGAACAGAGGAACCAGCCCTCTGAGCGCCCTGTCCAGGAGCTCAGACAGAGGAACCAGCCCTCTGAGCGCCCTGTCCAGGAGCTCGAACAGAGGAACCAGCCCTCTGAGCGCCCTGTCCAGGAGTACGAACAGAGGAACCAGCCCTCTGAGCGCTCTGTCCAGGAGCTCAAAGAGAGGAACCAGCCCTCTGAGCGCCCTGTCCAGGAGTACGAACAGAGGAAACAGCCTTCTGAGCGCCCTGTCCAGGAGCTCAAACAGAAGAACCAGCCCTCTGAGCGCTCTGTCCAGGAGCTCGAAGAGAGGAACCAGCCCTCTGAGCGCCCTGTCCAGGAGCTTGAACAGAGGAACCAGCCTTCTGAGCGCCCTGTCCAGGAGCTCGAACAGAGGAACCAGCCCTCTGAGCGCTCTGTCCAGGAGCTCAAACAGAGGAACCAGCCCTCTGAGCGCCCTGTCCTGGAGCTCGAACAGAGGAACCAGCCTTCTGACCGCCCTGTCCAGGAGCTCGAACAGAGGAACCGGCCTTCTGAGCGCCCTGTCCAGGAGCTCGAAGAGAGGAACCAGCCTTCTGAGCGCCCTGTCCAGGAGCTCGAACAGAGGAACCAGCCCTCTGAGCGCCCTGTCCAGGAGCTCGAACAGAGGAACCAGCCCTCTGAGCGCCCTGTCCAGGAGTACGAACAGAGGAACCAGCCCTCTGAGCACTCTGTCCAGGAGCTCAAAGAGAGGAACCAGCCCTCTGAGCGCCCTGTCCAGGAGCTCAAACAGAGGAACCAGCCTTCTGAGCGCTCTGTCCAGGAGCTCGAACAGAGGAACCAGCCCTCTGAGTGCCCTGTCCAGGAGCTCGAACAGAGGAACCAGCCCTCTGAGTGCCCTGTCCAGGAGCTCGAAGAGAGGAACCAGCCTTCTGAGCGCCCTGTCCAGGAGCTCGAAGAGAGGAACCAGCCCTCTGAGCGCCCTGTCCAGGAGCTCAAACAGAAGAACCAGCCCTCTGAGCGCCCTGTCCAGGAATACGAACAGAGGAACCAGCCCTCTGAGCGCCCTGTCTAGGAGCTCGTACAGAGGAACCAGCCCTCTGAGCGCCCTGTCTAGGAGCTCGAACAGAGGAACCAGCCCTCTGAGCGCCCTGTCCAGGAGCTCAGACAGAGGAACCAGCCCTCTGAGCGCCCTGTCCAGGAGCTCGAACAGAGGAACCAGCCCTCTGAGCGCCCTGTCCAGGAGTACGAACAGAGGAACCAGCCCTCTGAGCGCTCTGTCCAGGAGCTCAAAGAGAGGAACCAGCCCTCTGAGCGCCCTGTCCAGGAGTACGAACAGAGGAAACAGCCTTCTGAGCGCCCTGTCCAGGAGCTCAAACAGAAGAACCAGCCCTCTGAGCGCTCTGTCCAGGAGCTCGAAGAGAGGAACCAGCCCTCTGAGCGCCCTGTCCAGGAGCTTGAACAGAGGAACCAGCCTTCTGAGCGCCCTGTCCAGGAGCTCGAACAGAGGAACCAGCCCTCTGAGCGCTCTGTCCAGGAGCTCAAACAGAGGAACCAGCCCTCTGAGCGCCCTGTCCTGGAGCTCGAACAGAGGAACCAGCCTTCTGACCGCCCTGTCCAGGAGCTCGAACAGAGGAACCGGCCTTCTGAGCGCCCTGTCCAGGAGCTCGAAGAGAGGAACCAGCCTTCTGAGCGCCCTGTCCAGGAGCTCGAACAGAGGAACCAGCCCTCTGAGCGCCCTGTCCAGGAGCTCGAACAGAGGAACCAGCCCTCTGAGCGCCCTGTCCAGGAGTACGAACAGAGGAACCAGCCCTCTGAGCACTCTGTCCAGGAGCTCAAAGAGAGGAACCAGCCCTCTGAGCGCCCTGTCCAGGAGCTCAAACAGAGGAACCAGCCTTCTGAGCGCTCTGTCCAGGAGCTCGAACAGAGGAACCAGCCCTCTGAGCGCCCTGTCCAGGAGCTTGAACAGAGGAACCAGCCCTCTGAGTGCCCTGTCCAGGAGCTCGAAGAGAGGAACCAGCCTTCTGAGCGCCCTGTCCAGGAGCTCGAAGAGAGGAACCAGCCCTCTGAGCGCCCTGTCCAGGAGCTCAAACAGAAGAACCAGCCCTCTGAGCGCCCTGTCCAGGAATACGAACAGAGGAACCAGCCCTCTGAGCGCCCTGTCTAGGAGCTCGTACAGAGGAACCAGCCCTCTGAGCGCCCTGACCAAGAGCTCAAACAGAAGAACCAGCCTTCTGAGCGCCCTGTCCAGGAGCTCAAACAGAAGAACCAGCCCTCTGAGCGCCCTGTCCAAGAGCTCAAACAGAGGAACCAGCCTTCTGAGCACCCTGTCCAGGAGCTCAAACAGAAGAACCAGCCTTCTGAGCGCCCTGTCCAGGAGCTCAAACAGAAGAACCAGCCCTCTGAGCGCCCTGTCCAGGAGTACGAACAGAGGAACCAGCCTTCTGAGCGCCCTGTCCAGGAGCTCGAACAGAGGAACCAGCCTTCTGAGCGCCCTGTCCAGGAGCTCGAACAGAGGAACCAGCCCTCTGAGCGCCCTGTCCAGGAGCTCAAACAGAAGAACCAGCCCTCTGAGCGCCCTGTCCAGGAGCTTGAACAGAGGAACCAGCCTTCTGAGCGCCCTGTCCAGGAGCTCGAACAGAGGAACCAGCCTTCTGAGCGCTCTGTCCAGGAGCTCAAACAGAGGAACCAGCCCTCTGAGCGCCCTGTCCAGGAGCTCGAACAGAGGAACCAGCCCTCTGAGCGCCCTGTCCAGGAGCTCGAACAGAGGAACCAGTCTTTGACAGTCGGAAAAAGCATGACAAACAGTATCAGGATTATCACCGGAAATTCAAAGTGGTTGAACAGCAGGGTTAAATTTAGACACAAACCCATTTGTGGGTACAGCACAGTGAAGGATCCTCCACTGGAGGTCTCCTGAACGTTTGGGCAAGGGGCTTTTGTACAGGAGCCTCCGTGAAGGCCGCAGACCCTCAGGGACAGAGAAATGGGCTCTCCATTTGGAGTCACATCTCTCCTTCAGCTCATGAAAATGCAAGTATCTAACACAGCTCTGGTACAAAGCCTTCTTTCCAGCTGTTGAGAAAGGCAACTTCTGTAACCCACTCACAGAGGGAAGTTGCCCCTCAGTGATGCCAGGTTCGGAAACAGAGGGGCTGACAAAAACTCTGGAAATGACATTTCGGCCAATCCACCAGCCAAAGCACCAACCACAAAAGCCTTCAGAGGTGGAGGCAACACTGAGAGAGACTGAGAGAGAGTGGGAGAAAGATAAATAGATAGAGACTGAGGAAAAGATTAATAGAGAGTGAGAGAGAAAAAGAGAGAGATAGAGTGTGAGAGAGAATGAGAGATAGATAAAGAGACATACAGATAGAGTGAGAGAGACAGAGTGGGAGAGAGATAAAGAGAGACTGAGAAAGAGATTGACAGAGAGAATGAGAGATAAATAAAGAGATATATCGATAGAAAGATAGAGAAAGAGAGAGAGATAGTTAAAGAGATGTATAGCTAGAGAGTGGGAGAGAGAATAATAGAAAGAGGGAGAGAATGAGAGATAAAGAGACATGGATAGAAAGATAAAGAGAGTGAGAAAAAGATTGATAGAATGAGAGAGAATGAGAGATAGATAGAGATGTATAGACAGAGTGAGAGAGTAAGAGAGTGGGAAGCCATCAGGCGACTGTCTGCTTCTTTGGGCGGACAGTAAATGTAATTTCAGTGATTTTCAGTTTGTTTGATCAGCAGAGTTTATACTCTTCTCTCCTGCTCTTTTCAGCTCTGCCGCTAGAGGGCCTTCAACGCTCATCAGCGGAGATTTGCGACACTTGCCGTCGACCTGCGGCATGAAGCATGTTGACGCTTGTGTAGCGCAATGCTAACGCTGGTCAGCTAACAGAGATTATGTAGCATCGGATTCAGCTTTTTTGCTGATTTGCTCAGAAAAACGACGCAATCAGAGCTTCGTCTTTATGTGAGCGGCCGTCGAGATGGGCAAGCCGAAGAAGAAGAGTGAGTGTTCCCTTAAAACCAGCGGTTCTCCGCTTTAGCTCAGCGGCTCAGCTGCGGAACAGACACGCAGGTTTCAGCAGCGCGAGCCTCTCGGCTTAGAGAGGCTGTTAGCTAACTAACAGTGTGTCAGTTCGTTTTGATATGGTGTGACTAATCTATCTATCTATCTATCTGTCTATCTATCTATCTATCTATCTATCTAGAAAGAGAAAGAGTGAAAGAATGAGAGATAGGTAAAGAGACGTGTAGATAAAGTGAGAGATAGAATGAGAAAAAGTGGGAGAGAGTGAGAGGTAAAGAAAGTGGGAGAGAAAGATGAGAGAATGAGAAAAAGATTGATAGAGAGAGAATGAGAGGTAAAGAGAGTGAGAAAGATGAATAGACTAAGTCAGAGATAGATAAAGAGATATAGATAGAAAAATAGAGAGAGTGAGAAAAAATGGGAGAGAGTGAGAAAAAGATTGATAAAGAGAGAATGAGAGATACATAAAGAGATACAGAGTGAAAGAATGAAAGATAAAGTGAGAGAAAATGGGTGAGAGATAAAGAGAGTGAGAAAGATTAATAGAGAGAGAATGAGAGGTAAAGAGTGGGAGAGAAAGATAAACAGAGTGAGAAAAAGATTGATAGAGAGAGAATGAGAGATGAAGAGATATAGATAGAAAAATAGAGAGTGGGAGAGAACAAGATGGAGAAAGACTGAGAGGCAGTGGGAGAGAATAATAAAGAGAGAGTGGGAGAGAGAAAGAGAGAGAGGTTGTTATCTGATAAAAGTGTCTTTCCTAATGTTTCATTAATTCAGCGACTGTTTGTCGTGTCTGTCTTTACTAATAACGTGTTGTGTCAGGTAAGTTAGACTGTTGGATGCTTTATTAGAAGTTCATGTCTGCTTTAATGTCTTGTTTACATGTCCAGCCGTTGCTGTCACTAAAGCAGTGACTGGATAATGTTAGATATTAACGTCATACTAATATATTTTAGTTGACAGAGCATGAAATACTTGTTTTAATAACTAACGTTAAACTCTTAATCAGGTGAGCTCAGCCGGGCTGAACTGATGATGATGACAATTGCCGATGTCATCAAACAGCTGGTGGAGGCTCATGAGCAAGGGAAAGATATTAATCTTAATAAGTAAGTGTTTCTTTTCCCTTTCCTTCTCTTTCTCTCTGCACCTTTCAGCAACATCTTTCCTTTTTCTGAACCTGTACTAAACACCTCTGTGTTTTTAGAGTGAAGACACAGACCTCAGCAAAGTATGGCCTCTCAGCACAACCCCGTCTGGTGGACATCATTGCCGCAGTGCCGCCCCACTACCGACGGGCCCTCGTGCCAAAGCTGAAAGCTAAGCCCATCCGCACAGCCAGTGGAGTACGTCTACTGACTAGAAAGCCTGGTTTGGCTCTTACTGGTGTTACCGTAGATTAAACTGTTGTACTGTGATTATGTTTTAGGGGTGTGGCGATACAACTGATTCAATTCTCAATACACCGTTCATGATTTCACATTCTCATGATATTTTGAACAAAATTGAAATGAAAAAAAATGATAACTGTATCCATGTTGTTGCACAGCTTCAGGGCTGGCCTGAACAGCGATGAACATGCGTTGAATGTGTTGTTTGCTGTTTTGATTAGCTCAGTCGTAGCTGAACTACAGAGAGTGGAGTGGAGGATTTAAGAGCTTTTCTGTCTACACATGAGGAGGACCACTCTGTAAGTGGGTCAGCTGGTACCCTGACTGGCTGGTGCAGCCTGGAATGCACAACCCTACTTCATAGTACTAAATAGAGAATCTTATACAAGCATAACAAACAGATACTTGAGTATCCAGGTTATTCAGGGCAGCACTACACAGCCGCCTAATGAACGAGCTGGAGTTGGTGGTTGGTGCTGGTTGTTTGTGAACAGTGGTGTTCTAACAGTGCAGTTGTGTGTGTCAATTAAAAGAATGTCGATTCTCCACAAAGCACATTTTCACTTCTTTACATTATGTTATACAACAGTTAGTTCCGGCCACGCAAGCTGATTGGTTGAGAAGCGTTTTTTCACAAACACTGTATCACTCTGCCGTTGACGTTGTTGCTAAGCAACGACTTTGACAGCTGTAGGAGACGCTCAAGACATTTGAAGGTTTTTACTTCTTACTTTGCCACAAACAGAAAATTGACACTTTTAAGATCACATTTGACCGACAGCCAATTTGGTCAGACTCTGAAGATGAGACGACACTAAATTCCCAAACTGTCATCACCACTGAGCAGCTTTTCAGTTGGCAGCTGTGACAGAAGAACAGCTAAACTACCTGGAATCAGCCAGAAATGAACCCAATAACATTCGCCAAACTAAATGGGCTGTAAGATGCTTTACAGACTGGCTGGAACAAAACAACGTTAATATTGATTTGACAAACAATGACAAAACTGAGCTAAACTTGATATTGCAACAAGCTGCTTGTTAAGGAACTGTAATTTGGCGGAAAGAACTGCAAACATTAAAACATATTAAGTGCCGCGTTCACGGCCCAGAACACTCGAAGTCGTGTATTATCGCGAATAATTTTATTTCGCAATAACAGACTCCCTCTCGTGTTCTATTGCTTAATTATCACAATATCACAATGCATTGTTACACCCCTACTACATAGAGAGATATTTGTAGATATAGAGATATCTAGAGAGTTTGGCTTATGTTGATTTTCTCATTTTTATGTTAATTTCTGTGCGTAGATTGCCGTTGTCGCTGTGATGTGCAAGCCCCATCGATGTCCACATATCAGTTTTACTGGCAACATTTGTGTGTGAGTATCACAGCACAATAGAGAATCAAATCAGCTTTTCTTTCATCCATCTGGCTGGCTTGTCACATAACAAACTAGAAGGATGTATTTTAATGGACATCTTTAAGCCATTTTTAGCAGCTGTTTATGTTTTGTACCCAACCAGATACTGTCCAGGCGGTCCGGACTCTGATTTTGAATACTCCACACAGTCTTACACAGGCTATGAGGTAATTATCTGGTCACACGCTGCTCTCATTGGTCATGCATTAGTTAGTAATTGATACACTGTGAGTTCTGTCTGATGTTTCATGTTTCATCTGCATTATCATTCTGTTGCCCCTAGCCTACGTCTATGAGGGCCATCCGGGCCCGCTATGATCCGTATCTACAGACCAGGCACAGAGTGGAACAGGTGAAGCATCTTTCAGATACATATCCTCTTAGAATTCACATTTTTTTTTTTTTTTCAGCAAAAATTTGAGAGCAGATGAACTAATAACTTACATTGCATTTGTTGATATGTAAGCATTTAATCACATAATGAGGACAACTATTTTAGAGAGGTGGGGCTTTCTGCAAGCCTAATTTGCTCTATCTGCTTCATAAATATATATATATATATATATATATATATATATATATATATATATATATATATATATATATATATATATATATATATAAAACCAAACTAATTAAGCTTGCAGGATGAATTAAGATAAGCGATTATCATCTGCAGAATTGTGTTTAATTATATTGTCAAGATCCAAATCAAATCAAAAGTTATGAAATACCATGTGAGCATTACAGAGCCTCACGCTGTTGTCTTTTATTGTCCTTTCCTATGATGATAATATACACTATATGGCCAAAACTATATGGACTCCTGACCGTCACACTTATATGAGCTTATTGGACATCCTGTTCTAAAACCATGAGTATTAATATGGAGTTGGCCTCCCTTGCGGCTGGCTGTAACAGCCTCCATTCTTCTAGGAAGGCCTTCCACAAGAGTGTGCCTGTGGCAATCTGTGCCCATTCAGTCAAAGAAGCATTTGTGAAGTGAGTCACTGATTTTGGACAAGATGTCCTTGCAGTCGACGTTCCACTTCATTCCACAGGTGTTCAGTGGGCTTGTGATCAGGGCTCTGTGCAGGTCACCGGAGTTTCTTTGCACCAAACTCATCAAAAAATGTCTTTATGAGCTCTTTATGATGCATAGGGAACAGTCTTGCTGGACCGGGAAAAGGGCCTTCTCCAAACTGTTTCCACAAAGTAGGAAGTGTATAAGCTGTAGCGTTAACATTACCCTTTTCTGGAACCAGGGGGCCGAGCCCAAACTCTAAAAAGCAGCCCCGGACCATCCCTGCTCCACCAAACTTTACTATTGGTGTTACACATTGTGGTACATGGCGTTCTCCTGGCATCTGCCATACCCAGATTTGTCTGTCAGGTTAATAGACAGTGAAGCGTAGTTCATCGCTCCAGAGAACACGTTTATACTGCCTCAGAGTCCAGTGGTGGTGGGCTTTACACCACTCCAGCTGACACTTGGTATTGCACATAGTGATCTTGTGCTTGTGTGCAGCTGCTTGGTCTCATTTTGGAGATACAAGGTTTTGTTCCGACAGCACCAGTATGCTGGTCAGTAGCCCCACACTTTGAGTTTGCTTGGTTTACCATTTTGTGACTAAACTTGCTTCTAGATGCTTCCATTTCACAATAATCGCACTTGACCAAGGCTGATCTAGTAGGGCAAACCTTCATGAACTGACTTGTAGTGGCATCCTTTGACAGGGCCATGTTTAAAGTCACTGAGCTCTTCAGTTTGACCCGTTCCACTGCCAGTGTGGAGATGCGTGGCTATGTCTTTGAGTTTATACACCTGTAAGCATTAGGAAGTGGCTGAAACACCCAAACTCAATAATTAGCAGGGAATTATGTATACTTGTGGCCACAAAATGAATTTACCATATGATTATCATTAGAGCTAGCTTCTAGTAGTATTTTATAATAACTGTTGTATTCAACTGCTGTATGTATTCATAGCATTCATGTAATGCTGTTAACATCCAGTGGTTCACTGTTGGTTGGAAACTAAAATTTTGTCAAAATGGATTTTGACACCTTTCTTCTTGTTAAGCTAGTCTGATTTACTCTTTTGAGCAGGTCTCGTTTTTTTTTCTTTACTTGCATGTACTCCAGCATTTATTGCCAGACTGACATTACCGTCTTTTCAAGTAATGTTCAAAACATATATGTGTGTGTTTATTTAATTGGTGATGTTCTGTTTGTAAAGCTCATAATTAGTGGCAGTCTTTTTTTATTGTATACGTTTTCTAACTAACCATAGATTAGATTGATGGTGCAAATGGAGTTGTTTAATAGAGGTGGAGATTTTGAGTAGAAAAAATCATGTGGCTGTGAACGAGAATGAAAGAATGATTGCTTGTTTAACCTTTTCAACTCCTTGAGACCACCGGTGGTTCCAAAACGCACTTGGTCATATTCTTCATAACTTTCATATTTCATAAGCTACATTTAAAAGGTGGGGGTCGTACGAGAGCTGTAACTGTCTTCTTTCCGGTCAAATAGATGGGTGATGTAATTTTAAACCCGTATAATAAAAGAAGCTGAACTAATTTTTCCACAAATCTGGGCTATAAACTATAAACAGATGGCGTCTCTTCAGTGATCTGCTCTGTAAAAATTATTTTTATAAAAAAATACAAAGAGCGTCTAAGATTTTGGGCTTTCGGCTGTAAATTGTAAGCATATAGCAATATGTGTGATCATAAAACACATGTTCTGTTAATTTGAGGGGAGCTTTTGCACAAAAAAAAAAGAAAAAATTACATTTATTTCATGCAGTTACTGAATAATTTGCCTTACGATTTGGTCATGTAAATGCAGGTGGAAAAACCAAAATATACCCCGGTCAATAAGAGGTTAAATTATCATAATATGTAATATTATCAGCCCAAGGCTAGGTTTGATCATATGGGTTATTAATTAATTGAATTATTTCATTGATTTGATCGTATTATGTTTATATGCTTGTGCAGTTGAAGCAGCTGGGCCACAGTGTGGATAAGGTGGAGTTCATTGTGATGGGTGGCACGTTCATGGCCCTGCCTGAGGACTACAGAGACTATTTCATCCGCAACCTTCACGACGCGCTGTCGGGACACACATCCAACAACGTGGCCGAGGCCGTCAGGTACAGTGCAGCAGCTGCATGAGGAGAGTGTCTGAGTGACAGAATCAGGCCACTCTCATCATCTGCTTTCACCCTGATGTCCTCATGACTCACATAAGAAGGCTTTAATGCCACAAGAGGGAGTCGTGAGCTGAGCTGTGTGCTGCAGTGTTGTTTGAGCAGTCGAAATATGGACAGGAATTCTCCTGCATTTGATTGATTAACTTATTGGAAAATGGTTAGAAGAGCATGAACATGTATATACCGAAATGACAGTGCTTTAAATCTCTTAACGATTCAGTGCAATTCAATTTTTATGATTCAGAATTCTATAAAAAACAGAGTATATGGATTAATTGTCTGCGCAGTAGGCAATAAAGTATGGATAATGAAAACAATACACCAAGCTAATAATTTACAATTGAAACTTACCAAATAGCCTGAGGTGTTATTTCACCACTATTTTGGTCAAAATGTGAGGGTATACTTTATTGAATGTTATTGTTATGTATTGCAATCTATTCTAATATTCTGAAATTCAATCACCACCATCAGATTGATGTATTTTCACACCCCTTTTCAGTGGCTTATCTGTGCTACGGATGTCCAAGAGTGCTCCGTTGACCTTTCCAGGCACCAAAAAACTAAAATCATATTTTGGGTGTTCTTTATGCTGCATCACAGAAAAGTCATGGACAATATATACCGGTCACAATTCAGTGAAACATCGTTTCACAGGGTTGTGAGGTTCGGATGTTTTGGTCATAATTCCTGTTAAGATTGCAGTGAAACACAACGTGACTGTGTGGCCAAGAATGCATGTTAAGGACTTGATGGAGAAGGAAGAGGTTGTGTAGCCGTACTAAGGCTAAGTACTCTAGCTGGCGTTAGCCAAGTGCAATGAAGATATTTCGCTGTTTCCAGTTGGACCTCAGCAAAGTAACATGGCACATCATCCACTGAGGAGAAAAAATGTGAATAAGAGAGCAAGTCTTTACTACTATCTGAAGCTGCTCTGGTTATTGACTTTTGCTATTTTTACATCTCTGTGAGCTGCAAATTTTTTGCTTGTGCTCATCAGTCTTTAGTATCAGTGCACCAGTTTACCATCTTTTTTTGTGTATTATAATCAGTGTCTGTGTTTACATGCAAAGGTTCTTGTCAATCCAATTGAATACATTCCGATTACAGATGAAGACTGAGGTGTTTATATTCTCACTCTACTCAACAATCTGATGGAAAATCTCCGTTTACATGCTCACTACAAGTAATCTGACCCAAAACGACGCCCATGCATAGAGGACCGCTTAATGTAGACGTTACCATGACAACGAGCATCACATGAGGTCCAGGCAGAGTGAGATGAGTTTTCAGTTGGCGCGCTTGTGTTTTTAATTGCTTCAAATGATGTCAGACTCAGGAAAACGTCCTTCACATGTCCTTATTAAAGAAGGTCGAGAGGAAGACGTCGTGTTCTGAGACACATAAGCTGGACGTCCGTCCCACCGCCGTCTTTTAAAGATCAGAGCATAAACTTCGTCTCCTCTGCAGACCAGTTTCTGCTCCGCCATGTTGAACATTATAAACTTTCGCTATGACGCGACGCACATGATCAGAACGTACTTAAACTTTCAGACTGGGAATGTTATCAGATACAGGCGTTCACATGGTTATTATTCTTCTGTTTAACTGATTATTTACAGTATTACCCAACTTGTTCAATCGGATAGCATTGTATTCCGAACGGCCTCTATAGGACTAGGCTGTTCTGATTGAGGTGTATACATGGGCATATTCTATTGTGATTGAGCGAGCTATTAGTCGGATTATTAACGGATTATTAGGCTGCATGTAAACGTGGCTCGTGCTGGGGTAGGTACTCCACTTGTAATCCATTACAAATTACTCTTCTTATTACTTTCTGGAAAGCATCTCACTACTCATTCCTTCATACTTTGCATACTTTGTTAGCCCCCTTTTACCCTGTTCTTCAGTGGTCAGGACCCCCATGGACCCTCACAGAGCAGGTACTATTTGGGAGGTGGATCATTCTCAGCACTGCAGTAACACTGATGTGGTGGTGTTATGTTAGTGTGTGTTGTGCTGGTACGAGTGGATCAGACACAGCAGTGCTGCTGGAGTTTTTAAACACTGTTTCCACTCATTGTCCACTCTATTAGACACTCCTACCTTGTCAGTCCACCTTGTAGATGTAAAGTCAGAGACGACAGCTCATCTGCTGCTGCACAGTTTGTGTTGGTCATCCTTTAGTCCTTCATCAGTGGTCACAGGACGCTGCCCCCAGGAGGCTGTTGGCTGGATATTTTTGGTTGGTGGACTGTTCTCAGTCCAGCAGTGACACTGAGGTGTTTAAAAACTCCAGCAGCACTGCTGTGTCTGATTTATTGTAGAACTACAAAGTGCACCTATATAGTAAGTGGAGCTGATAAAATGGACAATGAGCATAGAAACAAGGAGGTGGTCGTAATGTTATATGTAATTGGTGTATATCTACCTTATAAGTTGACATCACAGAAGAAAATAAAAAACAAGAAAAAATGTATAACTGTATATACACAGTCAAGTAACATTATTATGACCACTTCATGTCCACAAGCTGGTGGTGGCAGCGTTATCGTCAGGGAATTTTTTCGTGGCATTCTTTGGGCCCACTCGTCCATGTGGAAGATACTCTCAACCGATTTGGATATGAATCCATCCTTGCAGATCACGTCACCCATACATGTTGATTGTCTTCCCTGGGGCGGATGGGATCCTCCAGCAAGACAATTCGACACGTCACAAGGCTAGAAATGTCTGACATTGGTTGGAAGAGCATGACCAAGACTTCCAAGTACTACCCTGCCCCCTAATTCCCCAGACTTGAACCCAGATGAGCATCTGTGGGACCACCTCGATTGTTGTGTTCGCTCTATGGATCCTCCCCCACGCTCCCTCCTGCATGTCCAGCAGTCAGCATGGCTCCAGATACCTGTGACAACCTACCAGGACTTTACTGAGTCACTCCCGGCACGTCTAGCTGCTTCACACGGCAGTTACTCTGGATATTAGCTTGTGGTCATAATAATGTGACTCGACTGTGTATATGGGTGACCCTCCATCTTTCCAGTCTTTGAAAACCAGCAAGTTACACCTGCGTCATCCTAAGAGTTCCAAGCTGCCTTACAGATTTCTTTCTTGTGCATCTAAAATGGCTACAGGAGATGTTTCTGTGGAGATGAGACGCAATAATCCACTTGAATGAGAACCTAAAAAATTGTTTAAAAAAGCAGCAGTTTCCAAACCTGGAGTTCAAAAAATTATTAAAAGAAATAGAGAAACTGGGACTCCCAACAACCATGCAAGATCTGGTAAACCAACAAAACTGCCCCGATAAACAGCACTTAAAGCTTTCCTCTTTGAGAGCGAGGAGAAAATCAAGCTGCTTCAGATCTGAAAACATCCACAGGTGTTTCTGTCCATCCTTCCACTGTGAGAAGACGACTCAGCGCTATGGGTCTGAAAGGATGTGTAGCTGTCCAGCAGTCAGCATGGCTCCAGATACCTGTGACGACCTACCAGGACCTTATTGAGTCCCTCATGGCCCGTCTAGCTGCTGTTCGTGCTCCACACGGCGGTTACTCTGGATATTAGCTGGTGGTCATAACATGACTCGACTGTGTATATGGGTGACCTCGATATTACTGCAAGTTTTTAACTGAATATCTGTTCATTTTGCAGATGTTTTACTTTTATGGATAGTTATTTAGGATGACACTCTAATCTCTGCATTATCTATTATCTATAATCTGTCTAGTTGTGTGGTTGACACAGTGCTATTGCGTTTTGGCAAGCTTGTTTTAACAAGCAGCTGTGCTGGCTCATAACTTGTGTAGGAGAAAAAAAAATCACTGGTTACGTCCCCTCCTTAACAAATGACTCAGCTCTTGTAGTGCACACTCCTTGTCTAATACAAAGCCCATATAAGTAAAACAGCAGGAACAGAGCTGGGGCCAGTCGGACGCTTCAGCCAGAACTCATTATAGATGCCATGCTGGCATTAGTGATTATTACAGGTTACTTGTTGCCAATCTTTTAGCATAAGAACAGCTGCATTGGCTTTGCTACCATCTTATTTTAGTCCAGTCCTGCATTCAAAGAATGGCTAATGAGGGACACTAATCTGGCAAGTACTCATATCATTTAAGTTGGGTTTAGATTTCAGATTTAGCGTTCGGTGACCGGCCACTGCATTGGCACAGCAGATATATTGGTCTGATACCTGTGGATCAATATAAGCCACTGTTATCGAGGATGAACCAACTAAAAAATAACGTTAGTGTGTCCTCTTGGTAGATGACATATTACATGCAGGGCTGCTCATCAGGTCAGCGGCTGCTGTGGAAGCTTCAATCTCCAGACAGCTATATCCTATATCAGCCAGACTGACAGAGCGCAATGGAATTTGGTGATGGAGAACCAAGTTAGAAATAAATGTCAGTCAGTTTCCTCTAACAAATTGAAAACCACAGAGATGTGATAAGATGGGATTTGCTGCCTTCTGCGAAGCTGTGTGCCTCCTGTATGTGCACAGCCAGAATGCCTCGCTTCACCCAGTAGCGCAGGGACACTGTACCGAAATCCAGCGTCATTGCTGAACTGATGATGGTTGGGTTTATGGAGATGAGCTTGTTGCCTGTCTGGTTTTATAGCTACTCTATTGTAGTGGATCCGAATCTTGGTGCTGGAGTTCCCACTGCACTCAGGAAACAGTAAAACCTGCAGTAAGGGGTGCTTGAGGAGCCAGAGTGGGCAAACACTGAAAACACTAAAGTAATGCTGTTTACTGTGTGTGTATTTGTTCAGTTACGTAAGTGTTTTTGAGAGATTCATTGTAAGTTTCAGTATTTGAGCAAAGGCAAGATCTGCATTTTCAGATATTCATAGCCTTACATACAGTACTCTCAAAAGACAGTGACAGTGTCCTTTCAAAAGAGCCAGTAAATCGTCGCTGTCCAATG